AATATAATCCAGCATATGGTCTATTCTATCTCCAAATCTTGCACGTAATCTACAAGATATGTTGGTAACTGACGTCTCCGTTTCCCCCTACTAGCTGTAGATGTTTCTGCGTTACTTTCTTGGACATCATATATATTTGTATGGTCCAGGTCAGAAGAGTGGTCTAATTATTTGTCCATATTTTGGATAACTGGTCTACGTCTCTGATCTTCGTTTAAACCCAGTTCCTTTGGATAACTTAACTGATCTGAAGTCAGAGTATCCGACTCCAGATTGGTACCATCTGCATCGTGTATCAATAATCTATTTGGTTCCGATGTCAGAGTATCCGACACCTGGTCTGAACAAATAAATAGTCCAGAAATATCAAAGATATCGTCTAAGTCTTCTGAATCATCATTTTCTAATGTAACATTGCTGTCAGTGTCCTGTAAAAGATTGTTACTCAATATTTTTAACCAAATAGGAAGTTCTGTGAAAAAACACATCTTTAGTCGATCATGATGAACCACAGACTCTGTTTTCATATCTTTTATCTTATATAGCACTGGAGATTTTACTTCTGTGATGATATAAGGTCGTTTCCATGGTTGGTTGTTTTAATTTTGGGGTCTGAGTCACTTCGGTAGCAGAGTTTATTTTAAGTACTACATCACCAATATTATATTTCTGTTGATTCATTTTTAAATCACAGTCCTTCTTCTGTCTTTTCTGGGCTCTTTGTAAATTAACTCTTGCCCAATCATGAACTTGATATAATCTCTCCTTTAACTGTTTGATATACTCTGGTGGATCTTTCGTAGTAACACTTGATGTTCCTAACATTAAATCTATCGGAAAACTTCACGTCCCAACATTATAAGGTTAGATGTAAACCCTGTTTGTCTGTTCCCTGTGGCACGGATGGCTCCTATTAATTGCTGGAGGTGTACATCCCTTTAACATTGTTTCTTATTTAAAAAACATCTAATTATTTGAAGAATTGTACGGTTATACCTTTTTACCTGTCCGTTACAGCCGGGTGGTAAGCTGTGGTTCTTGTCTTGGAAATTTCTAATAACTCACGAAAGTTCCTCATTAAATTACCATCCACATTCTTGACTTTGTCGGTATGAACTTCCAACGAACAACCAAATCTTGAGATAAAGCCATCAACTGCTGTTTTGGCAACTATTTCTGCACTTTAACCAGGAATTGGAAAACACTCTAACCATTTGGTAAATTGATCAACAATCATGAGTAAAATATTTGTTCTTCTGCTTGGTTACAGGAAGTGGTCCCAATAAATCCATGTGGACTCTAACCATAGGTACTCCTGATATATACTGACCGAGTCAGCTTTTGGTCGGAAGTTCGGTATTTTTATTCATGCCGCTAAAATCTTGCAAGACTTAATGAACAATAAACAATTCTCCTTCATATGATGCCAAACTACTTGTTTCTTAAGTCTTGATAGAGTTTTACCTTGCCCAAGATGTCCTGAAAACTTACGATTTTTCTAAAAATTCTGTTTGTAGTACTTTTGGAGCCACTAATAACAATTTAGGTAATATTGGATCTTCCCACCAATAGTACAAAATACCATCTTGTATTCTTAGTTGGGACTGACATTGCAAAAAATGTTTAACAGCTGAACTACATAGTTGAAATTCATTTCTTGAAGGCAAATAAAAGAGAGGCGAAAGATACCAGAGGGACCTTCAAACTCATAAATCGAAAAAAAAACTGACAACGCCATGGCTAAAAAATAAAAAGACCAACAGACAAACAATAGTACACAAGACACAACATAGAAAACTTAAGACTAAGTTCGCGACCGGGTGACATTTTTCAAAATTGCGAGTTAAGTACCTTGTGTTATATTAAGGTATATAAGAATTCCATAACTCTTCAACGTTTGTATTAGGTTTCAAAAATGTTGTGGCCTATATTCTTTTCAATATTTGAAAAATTGCTCACTTTTGAAGATAAGAGGCCTATGAAGGTGAAAATCTTCTAAACGTATACCTGAAACTACTATTAACACATGTTATAGTTGTCTCAGCGTATACAGACTCCCAGATTAATATTCTTTATTGAAAATTTGATCAAGTTCGAAGTATAACAAAAGTGAGAATAGTATATTCATCCTCAGACATAATGTCAGATGACCATTGCTATTGATTTGGTAAAGTTAGAAGTAAATCACTGAGAGCATACTTAAGTAAATGTGTGACGTGGGAAAAATTACATACATGTATCATTATAAAGAGATAAAATACTCATATCTCTAGGGAAGCAACTTGAATAGTCTTGTTTTTATGTTCATTTAACCGTGACATCGGGTTAAAAAAAAGATTTTTCATCGAATTTAATAAGTTCACATCATTACAAATATGGGAATCATCTTTCAGGTTGATGTGACCACAACTTCAAAGTAAACAACCTTAATAAACAAATTAAACCTGATACCTGCTCACACTTTCTTTATGTTCAGTGACGTGTGATATCAAGGTCAAAACCCCTATTAAGCATATACCTTATAACTTCACATAATAATAAACATGTGCACTAAATTTCAAATTGACTTGATGGTCCTATTATTCTCCATTAAAAAATGATTGCAGAGAAACAACTAAAATATACAATGATGTAACATTTTAACTTAATTACTAATACTGCAGCAGATTGTATTAAATGTTTATATATATATATATATATTTTTTAAAATGATAAATTAATTGTACCTTAAATATTTTAAAACAAACTGGTAGTGTTTGCATTTTTGTATCATTTGAATATAATAATTAGGTAAACCATATGGAGAGCAGGCTGGCTGTTAGAGGAGACAGAAACCAAGCTCTCTTACTTCAAATAAATCTATCAGTTACTTCAAATCAAATTCTATATATGGTTCTATATTGTACTAAAAATCAGTGATGTAATCTAAATATTCATAATTTGAATTTCTATATTTTCTTACATTTGAAACTATTGATTTCCACCTTTTTTATTACTTTTTTTCAAAAGGTGCTTTACAGTCTGTTGAATATTTATGACATATTCTTAAAATACATATTTAAGTTTACTCAATTATTATTGAAAATTAAGAATTGTTTTATCCCAATAAGAGTATATAAACTATGATAATAGAAATCAACAAAAATATTGGGACATTACAACAGACCACACAAACTACCATCAAAGATTATTAAAAAAACATACAAACAAAAACAAACAACTAGATACAAGACAGTGTCCCAAAAACCCAATTAGTGTTTGCAATCCTCATACTAACAAGACATTGTCCAAATAACCTTATTAGTGTGTGCAAACATCACACTAACAAGACATTGTCCCAATAACCCTACTAATGTGTGCAAACCTCACACTAACAAGACATTATCCCAGTAACCCTACTAATGTGTGCAAACCTCACACTAACAAGACATTGTCCCGATAACTCTACTAGTGTGTGCAAACCTCACACTAACAAGACATTGTACCAGCAACCCTAATAGTGTGCAAACCTCCCACTAACTATGCTTAACATACAAGACATTATCCCAATAACCCTACTTGTGTGTGCAAACCTCAAACTAACAAGACATTGTGCCAATAACCGTACTAGTGTGTGCAAAACTCACACGATAAAGACATTGTCACAGTAACCCTACTAATGTGTGCAAACCTCACACTAACAAGACATTGTCCAAATAACCCTACTAGTGTGTGCAAACCTCAAACTAACAAGACATTGTGCCAATAACCGTACTAGTGTATGCAAACCTCACAGGAACAAGACATTGTCCCAATAACCCTTCAAATGTGTGCAAACCTCACACTAACAAGACATTGTCCCAATAACCCTACTAGTGTGTGCAAACCTCACACTAACAAGACATTGTCCCAATAACCCTACTAGTGTGTTCAAACCTCACACTAACAAGACATTGTCCCAATAACCCTACTAGTTTGTGCAAACCTCACACTAACAAGACATTGTCCCAACAACCCTATTAGCATGTACAAACTTCACACAAAGGAGACATTGTCCCAATAACCCTACTAGTGTGTGCAACCTCACACTAACAAGACATTGTCCCAACAATTCTACTAGTGTATGCAAACCTCACACGAACAAGACATTGTGCCAATAACCGTACTAGTGTGTGCAAACCTCACACGAACAGGACATTGTCCCAATAACCCTACTAGTGTGTGCAAATCTCACACTAACAAGACATTGTCCCAATAACCCTACTAGTGTGTGCAAACCTCAAACTTACAATGCTCTACAACTAAGTACTTGTGGCCTTTTTTACTTTTTTGATTCAAGCAACACTAATGAGTATTTTGTATAAGAAACGCACATATGGCGTACAAAATGTTAAGCCTGGTATCTATGATATGCTTAATAAGTAAGATTTTTTCTGGGATATGAGCTATAACAGGAATCTTATGAAGGACTATGTCTATATTCTTTTACCACTTATATCTTTATTTAGGAATCATGTGAGATTTAATTGGACAAGACTGTGTCAAGCAGCTTTTAATACTGGTAGACCTTTAAAAATCTTGGAAATGCTAGTGATAACTTGACTAAACAAATCACTCTTATTGTCTATAGATGCATCTAAATATTGATGGGATATGAGTCATATTGGAAATACATTTGGACACAAAGCAAACTGGTTTTGACATTTTTTATGGTTCTGAACAAAAACAGACCCAGCTAATGTCTTCCACCATTCAAACTTTTTGCCACACAAGAAATGATAATGCATATTTGAAGTGCCTTTAGAGAGCTAAAAAAGACACGGTTAATGTATTTTTTGCTGTGACTTTAGAGATATAATTTTAAGATCACAGTAAAGGCATTAAAACAACTATCAAATGTATTCAGAAGAGATAAATAAGCTTCTAGCACTCATGGTAAACCTTAATATAGGGATTCCAACCATTCCTTTTTAAGTCTGAATCAGTGATTAGCAAAATATACATAAAAAGCTAACAGTAAACACTTTCTAAGACTTTATTTTCATATAAAGATAGCTCCGCTTATAAAAAAATTTGGAAATAGTTTTCAATAAATATGTAAAAAAGCTAAATAAATACATAAAAGCACTTTTTCATTTTAAACACAAAACAGTTACCTCTTCACCATGAGTATCTTCACACATAGACACAATCTGTTACAAATCATTGATCACCTCTGTCATAGATCTTGAGTGTACACACTCCAAAAAATTCCACTTAATGCTCTGGGAGTGGTACCATGTATTGAATGAAACTGATATAAACTTGTAAGGTGTTGTACTCTTTGTCACATATTTAGATAAATCAACAGTTGTTCAACATGATGTTGTATACAGAATGTGAAACACGTAATGAGGTAAAATCTGGCTTATGAGCATAATTCTCTGTTAAATGGGAGTAAAATCCCTCCAAATATATGACATTGCTCTGAGGTACATGTACAATGGTGAATTTTTTTTCAGATTAAATGTTGAAAAATTGAGAAAATTATATGATTCTTTTAATATAATGCCCATATCAACCTGAGACACCAAATTAATCTCTTTGAGCTCTGCTCTAGGTATTTGGTTGAGGGTTGATAGTGTGTGTGATATTGAAAAAGTAATATCATGTACACGTTGTACCAGGGAAAACTTTATTATTTATCTGAATAGATGTTTTTCAGTAGCCTGTGTAACAGTGACTTATTTTGATATCATCAGAGACAACTGATACATAACAATGGTATTGAGTATAAAATTGACTTGTATTCTATACTAAGCATACAATTAAGGATATTACATTAGGTTAGCTAGTGCAACAATGTATGTCTCTTTTTGAGTTTTTAGTAATTTTTTTACTAAATCATATTCATGTTTATATCAATTTGTATTTAAAAATGTAAGAACTAAATGAAACCTGAATATAAGTGTGCTTATGCATGTCAATTTGACCTTTACTATTGACTGATTTTTAAAAAAACTAACATATTCAAAAAAATTGAATGACATTTGATTTAAAATTGATGATCTGTACATACAATGACAATTACAGGTTACAACATTATATATCCTATAAAAGACAAAAAAATATGTTAATTCTACATAAGTCTTTAAATATAGTGAAAACAAATATATATAGAAGGGATTTCAGTTTCATTAAAGGTAGGTAATCAAGTACATGCAAAGCAATAGTCAAGTTCTGGCCGAGAACAAAAATAAGAACATTTGAATTAGTTTGAAGGAAGAATATAATGTATTACAACATTTTATCAATGAAAAATATACATTTTCTACTAATCTGGTTATTTTTTTTGTGTAGTTACAGTGATTTCATATTAGTTGCTTAAATTGGTTATTAAAACTTTATTTTTCCTGTACTAAGTTTAATTTTTAATTATCTAGCTTGGGGTTAATAGTGTGCAGAAAGACATGTCAACTTCCAAGAAGCAAACCACATATTTTTTTTATCAAGATTTCACTGTACTGTGAATTCATTTATTTTTCGTGCATACCAATTTCCGTGGATTGAGGAAAAAATATGTTTTCATGGATATTTGATTTCGTTGTTTTGCCAAAGTCTGCATACAAGCCTATAAACAATTTGTACTTCGTCGAACGTTGAAATTCATTGTTCACCTGTACCCACGAAATCGAAGAAAATTAGTATCCTACAAATAATAATGAATCCACAGTATTTCCATTATTTTTATATCTGAAACAATATTTTATTCTATTTCTTGATAAAAACCTTTAAATGTTTGAGCATATTCTAAAAAAAATTAATAAATCACAAACATGTATCAAACCTGAACTATTAGAAACATTTACCTATACAGGGTAAAAAAAACTTCATTAAAAAATACTCATATCACAGTCTATTAAGAGGCTCTCATGGATGGGTTAATTAACCATAAATTGAAATGTTTGATAAATTCTTGTGCATGGAATTAATTTTTCCACTGAATGTTCATTGAATTAATTAAATTATTCTGAGAAAATAAAAAAAAGACAAGACAACCATATAACAATGATTCAATATAAATTATGTACTAAGAAAAAAATTAGTTCATTTTTAATAATCCTGAGTGAAGGTTGACAAACATAACATATAAAAAAACAATTAGCTTCACATATCTTTTCGCTTATTGTTTTTCTTTTTCAACATAAAAAATATAATTGCTTTATGTTTTGAGGATAACTGACTTCATTTTCTAAAGTATAAGATACCAGAAGATTGATTGATTGATTGTTGGTTGCTTAATGTCCAGTGGTAAGAAACAAGGACATTGATTGATTGTTGGTTGCTTAATGTCCAGTGGTAAGATACCAGAACATTGATTGATTGTTGGTTGTTTAATGTCCAGTGGTAAGATACCAGGACATTGATTGATTGTTGGTTGCTTAACGTCAAGTGGTAAGATACAAATACATTGATTGATTGTTGGTTGCTTAACGTCCAGTGGTAAGATACCAGGAAATTGATTGATTGTTGGTTGCTTAACGTCCAGTGGTAAGAAACAAGGACATTGATTGATTGTTGGTTGCTTAACGTCCAGTGGTAAGATACCAGGACATTGATTGATTGTTGGTTGCTTAACATCCAGTGATAAGATACCAGGAGATATCTCATCTAAATAAAAGTACATCTGTACAATGAAACCTGTTTTAATTTTTCACTTAAAGGAGAGCAAAAAAGTGGTCTCATAAGACAGATGGTCTTTTAATACAGGTTCAATCTATATGAAATGCACTGCAGAGGGATCTAAAATTGATGGTCTTATTACCCAGGTTTTTGCTTAATACAGGTTGTCTCTTAACCAGGTTTGACTGCACTATCTTTTCTGTATTTAGGTGTTTATCAAATCAATGATCATCAATCAATGGAGTATTTTTAACCTAAAATAAAAAGACTATTGATCATTTTGTCATCTGGGGATAACATCCAAACAATACAGTCATTCCTATCTTAGTGACCCTGTCTTAGGTAATGTTTATTCATCCCAATATGAATACTGTGGAACACTGTATCGCCTGCGATTGCTGCTGTCTGTGTAAAAGTGTCATGCTGACTGCTAAAAGTCTATTTATCAGTAAAATACTACTATTGTTCTTTAGATGCTATTTCTAGATCTTGAAACGCTTCTGTGCAAGTAACATAAATATTGCATGAAAGTTAGTGACGTCTAAATAATTTAATCCCAGATTGTATGTAAATGTTAAATGCAAATTAAACAACTGTCAGTACAATACAGGAAAATGAAAAATATATTTTAAAGTTTTGCTTCAGACTTTATTCTGAATGGTAACTAAAGCTTTTTCCTAAGTTTGATGAAGGTGTCAAAGTAATCGATGTAAAACACAATTAAAATCCATACAGTATCTTAAACTGCAGAAAATACAAAGTAATGTTATCAGTAAAATATGGAAAAATACTGTATATATATTTTTAAATACCATGAAGGATTGACAAAGTTATTAAAATCTGAAAAACTTTAACCTTAGACTATATCTTAATGTTAACTGCAAATCAAAACTAAGTCCATTTATCAGTAAAAAATGGAAAAATTAAAAAATATATTTTAAAAATTTTGCTTTACATATTATCTCTTAATCTTAAAACATCTTCTGCCAAAGGTTTGTTTGCAAAATTCGCTAAAGGTGTAAAAAGTTATTAATGTTATAAAAACTTTTACCCAAGACAGTATCTATATTTAAACTGCTAAAAATTCAGTAAAATATGGAAAAATGAAAAAAAAGTATTTTCCAAATTTAGCTCTGGATACTGATTTCTTATAAAAAAGCTTTTGTCCAAGTATCATAAAATTCCATAAAGGTTTGACAAAGTTATTGATGTTTAAAAAAACTTAAACCTCAAACTGAACTGAAGAAGCCAACTATGCAATTGAGGATCGTTATGTCTCTAATGCGAAAAATGTTGCAGGCTCCACAAAAATTGATAACAAATTATGACAACAACAAAATCATAAAAACCAATCATCCTGATAATGTAAACTCATCATAAAAAAGTAATAGACAACATTTAAAAAGATTACTCTTAAAAAAATAAACATAATATGGCAACAGTGTGCTTTATACAATCAAAATACAACAGTAAAAAAATCAAAGCATCAATGATGCTCTTCCAAATCTGATTCAATCAGGACATGCATCATTGATGCTCTGCCAAATCTGATTCAATCAGGACATGCATCATTGATGCTCTGCCAAATCTGATTCAATCAGGACATGCATCATTGATGCTCTGCCAAATCTGATTCAATCAGGACATGCATCATAAACAAACATGTAAAATTATAAAATTAAATTAATAAAGTAAATATATAAATTAGAAGTTTTTACTTGATTATAAATTATGAATAAATCTGCATTTACAATACAGAATTTCTTCTGACCATCAAGTGGCAGTAAATCATTGGTTTTTCTAATTTCATACATGTAAAATTGCTTTAATATGACTAAAATTTGCTTTAAAATTGAAATTCGACATAACATTATTTCATGTTTATAATGATATTAGTACAATATAATATTATATTTGTTAAGAAAGGGGGACTCTTCCACTTATGCATAATATTTTGCGTAGTAAATAACATCACATTTCACTGTTTTCTACTTTGATGAATAAAAAAGTATTTTAATTTTGTAATCAAAATTGTAGATAGCATTTCCTCAAAAGTCTTGAAGTAAATGGTCTGAACTTGATCATTATAGTATTATGTGAGGAAGTGACACAGGTAAAGTGATAATAGATCATTCCAATGCAATTTTTATGTAACAATTTTTTTCATTGGCTAAAAGTTACCATCAAATCCACAGTTGACGTGTCGTAACTAAGGAGGAACCCGCTATTTTGAATTGCTTGGATCAACAAATGTTTGATTACTACAATATTATCAAAAATAAAACAACACCTCTTCAAAATCACAGTTTTGATGTGATTTTATCTAAATTTGAATCGTAGAGGTAACGTAATAACCTTCAGTTTGTAAGTTTTCATTTGTATGACGTCACGTCACGTTTAGCCATGACATCTTTATGCCAAAATCATTCATGAAGTTTCGTGGGATTTTATTTTATTTCAAATTTATACATTTTTTCAGGCTCTAATGTATTATTTCTTTTTGTAATGCATTAGAATCAGAATAACAGTACTTTAGTTGAATAGTTTCCGCCGTCGCCAGTAAAACTGCATTTGCGACCATCAAATCACCAATTGACGGTGGCAACTCTTCAACTACAGTACTGTTATTCCTTAATTAACCTGATATCCCCCTGGACTATTAAAACAGTGCAAACACAATTTTATGATATAATGTATAATCTAATGTCATTTGTATGATTTTCTCATGTATGTACATGTACTACTATTCTATCAATTTTCAGTCACGACCTTGTGGTCATAAAACCTTTGAGTATGATACTCAGACTCAAAAATCAACCAATCAAAATACTGGATTTATTGTTTCGAGCACAAATTTTATACTCATGAGTACCGACTAAAGCTTTATGACCGAGACCTCTGATGTTTGCATCTGTTTCATATCAAAAGTAATCAATACAAATAATTAACTATTATAAATTCTTTGTCTTTGCTCTAATATCTGCTACTGTATCCTTTCCTCTGATCATATCCGATGCCTTCTCCCCAATCATGATGGATGGAGCATTTGTATTGCCTGATGGAATATTTCTCATGACAGATGCATCTACCACTCTAAGGCCTGCTATTCCTTTCACCCTGCAAATGTTTAGAATATCAATTTCAGTTCTAAAAGAAGAAAATTAGCCTATAAGAATGTCAGGAAATGTTGGTTATATGTCAATGAGACGGATACATATAAACAACATACATCTACAGGTCAACAATATTTTAAAAAACTTTTCAGCATTCGAAGTCAATACTAGAGTATCTAAGAATAAAATCATGTGTTATTTTATTCATTCAATACTCCTGTAAATTCAGAAAGTATTGCGTGCATTTATTATTGCGAATTTTGAAGAATTGGACTCAAATGGGAGATAAATTATAGCAATTTTAGGATAATATGTATAAAGTTATATGTATCAGATATCAGAATGCAAGTTTTTATTATTGGGATACTCATTCAGTTGCATTATTCGCATTAATAAAAACTTGCAATAATTTCTGAATTTACAGTATTAGAAAAGTTTATGGGTGTTATTATATGCACATAGAAATGAGTCAGGTATTGGTTTTTATAGTTTCAGTTCATTTACTAATTCAATTTTGCAAAAGTTATTCTTCTTCACTATATGAATAAAATATATATATTTTGCAAAGAATTCTGCTCAAGCCGATGCTAGGGGCTGTCTTAAACTTGCAGTGAGGTGAGAGTTTTTTGGCTGCGTGTTGAATGCCTAACTGTGACTTTGAGATGAAGAATAGCAATAAATGCGCTGTTCCTTTGCTTTTTGTGTGTTTTTGGTGTGTCTGTACTGATTTTGTGTCCTGGTTGGATACCCCATGTTCTTTGTTTTTCTATTACAATATAAAAGAAAAACGATATTGTGCAACATGATATTTACAATTGTCTGAATTTTCTTCAGGAAACTTTATAATTCAATTTACGAGTTAGTACAGCTGCTAGCTTGTATGCCTGCATTATTGAAGGTTTTGACAGGAAATTAAGGTAAAACCAATGCAATTAGTGTAGAACTATTTAAGACTCCAAAAGATACCTAAAAAAACCTTATCAAAGATACCAGGCTTTATCAATGATGCTCGAATCAAAAAGTTAAAAGGCCAAAAATATCATAAGTCATTTATTTCAATCACAAAACATGACTGGGTTATGTTATTAGAATTTTTATTGAAGGATCTTTGCCAATTATGTCAAACTTCTATTCCTTTTTAATATCAAAATTGTAACAAGCTTTTCATGCCTTGGGTACTTGAAATTTATGGTTTTGTGAAAGCAGGAAATTGTCAGAACTAGAACAACTCAGAAAAGAGCATTGAATATTTTTCTGTAACAAAAAAGAATTGTAAAGGGTTCCACAGAACCCTGTGTCTCGCCTGCGATTGCTGCTGTCAGTGTAAAAGCATAATGTTGACTAAAAAAGTGAGTCAATTTATCAGTAAAATACAGAATTTAAAAAAAATCTAACTTTTCTCTAGATGCTACCAAAGTTTCATAAAATTTTATGAAGGTTTGACAAAGTAATTGATGTGTAACAAACTTTAACCCCAGACTGTAACTTCTTGACTAAATTTAAATGTTAACTGTGAAAAATAAAAATAAATATTTTCAAAATTCTGCCACGTATACTGTCTTTTGATAACAAACAAGCTTCTGTCCTAATTTCATAAAATTCAATGAAAGTTTGACAAAGTTATTGATTCTAAAAAAAATTTAACCACAGACTGAACCTAAACGTTGACTACACCGACAACGAAATCTAGGATTGCTATGTCTTGTTTCGCGACATAAATGTTGCAGGCTGGACAAAACACAAAGATAAAGGTCGAAATGAAAACAGATTCAACATTTAAGTAGGAAACTTTCAAAAAATTTATTTCATTTTACCTTTCAACATGTACTCATGTGATTTATGTCAAAAATGTTTGTGGATAGGGAGAACAATTGTATTTTCGTGTATATGATTTTGTGAATTTGCCAAAGTCTGTATACAAGCCTATTTAGAATTTGAAGTTTGTTGGACATTCAAATTTGTGGTATACTATTACCCACAAAATCCACAAAAAAAAATGATATTCCACAAATAATAATGAATCCACAGTAATACATACCTAAGCTGAGAGTCGACTACTGCAGTAGGATCATTGGCAGCACCCATACGACATGTACTTGTTGGATGATAAACAGTTTGAGCTGCATTACGTATACCACATTCCCAGAATGCATCAGAATCATATTCTATATGTGAACATTTAGGATTCAGGGCAATAAGATTCACTTCTTTTGCTCCAAATTTCTCAAGTACTTTTGTTTTGACTAACTTTTGTGCAACCCTGATACCTATAAAAATAAACAAAACTTAAGAAAAAACAAAGCAATGTAACACTAATTAGTAAATCTGATATAAACAAGAATGTGTCCATGGATGCCCCACTCGCACTATCATTTTCTATGTTCAGTGGATAGTGAAATTGGGGTCAAAACTCTAATTTGGCATTAAAATTAGAAAGATCATATCATAGAAAACATGTGTACTAAGTTTCAAGTTTGATTGGACTTCAACTACATCAAAAACTACCTTGACCAAAAACTTTAACCTGAAGCGTGTGTTTTTTTATATGTTAGTACCAAAACCTATGAAAAATGTGATGACTTTTTCCCTTTCCTATTGTTAATTTCCTTTTTTCTTCTTATTGAGTTGTTCAAATATGTGTTTTTAATGATGTCTCAGATTTCAACGTTGTAAAATTTCCTTTCTTATAAATTTTTTTACAACAGAATTACAGATGTCATCATTTGGTAAAAACAGGCTTTAATAGCATATATTTGATTTCACTATATATGAATTTAATAAGAAGAGATATTTTTAACAACACTTCTTATTGCCATAAATTCTCAAGTAGCATCTGTAACATCTGAAAGTAAACTCATCATAAAGACCAGGATTAAAATTGTGTATGCCAGGCGCACATTTCATCTACAAAAGACTCATCAGTGATGTTCGAATCAAAAAACCTATGACAAATGTGATGACTTTTCTTTTTCTTATTGTTAAAGGCAATACATATACTGAAAAAATTGTCTTTTTTTTTATATAAAATAAATCTTTTATTGCAGATTTCTCTGCTGTTTTTACAACTTACTCTACTCACAGCATTCAGTCAGGTATCCCTGTAAATTAGTTACTATTTAACCAGGGAGATTATACAGTAAAAATATATCTATTATATATGGTTAGTTATACAATACATTGATTTTGACAATTTGTTTTTGTAGTCTTTATTACATTAGGTAATTACGGAAATTGTACTATCTATTGTCCGATATTGTCAAAAAGTGTGTTTATGTGAAAAAAAAGGATATTGGTAAAGCAAAGATTTTCTAAATTAATGGTATCTTTTTCTACATTTTTATAGAAAAGTATAGTTTTGACAATTGATTGATTGAATAAATTATTTGTGTTTAATGCCACTTTCAGCATTTATGGCTAATTCTTGGCAGCTCTCGGAGTGCAAGGAGAGAACAACATCCTTAATCAATTAAAACTGCAGTTGAACACACCTGTTATGTGCAGGATTAGAAATCAACTTGCAAGGCCCCCCCCCCCTTTTTTTAACAACTGAACAACTGTTATAGGTTGAAAAGCATTTTCTTTTTTTCTCAATATACATTTTTCTAAAACTTTAAAAGTTTCATACCAATAAGAGTAAAATTAAATCTGATGATTGAAAATAAGGTTAAAATATGTTCAATACAGAAAAAATAAATGAAACATTAAATTGCTTTGGTTTGTAAAAAAAACTTCAATGTACATTTAATTACACAATACATTTTAAGGTATTTCAATGGAAATCTTTCCTAAATAGTAATATGCCAGTACAAAATGACCCGCTTAAAACTAAGTAATCATACTTAACGACACAAACCTTCTATCAAAACATTCACATCTTCCTTCTGTTCTAGATAGTGAGGGTCTATAGCAGGGTGATCAAATGGGTCTGTACTTTTAAGACGAATTTCTCCACGACTTTTCGGATGAATCAATGTTGGCATAATCACCATTGATGCATCAATATTAGAATTAATCATATTCTCAATCGACTAAAATAGAAATATTCATACCTTCAGATTGTTTTATCATGAAAATAACATTAAAGGGGAATTAGTTGTCAAATTCATGCTAACCAATTTGACTCAAATTCTCATATTTGATTTATAACAAACTTAAACATACATCCAAAAAAATAAAAAGTCTAAAATAAAAATTTACAATGCAGGGGGTCGATAAAATGTATCAGCAATACATGTGTATTTGGATAGATTTGAAGGAAACTTAGTACCCGGTACATGTATTTTTTTTTAAATCACAAATTTTGAGAAAGATCTTCTTTAGATAGGAATTCAACAAAATTGATATATACCATATAACAAGTATAATAAGTTAATTCAAAGTGGTTGAAGGTGCAAAAAAAATGGTATAAACTTACTTTTTGTTAAAAAGACACAAATTTTGAGAAATATCTTTTTATGGTAGGATTTTAACAAAAACTGGTGTCAAAATTTATCAAAATTGACAACCCACGGAAATTGATTGCTTTGTATGAATCAGTCATTATGTTTTGTAATTTTAACCATGGTTTTTATTCTAGTTTTACCAGATAATTATAACCATGGTTTTTATTCAAGTTTTATGACGACATTAAGTCACAATAGCATGTTTTTAATTCCTTAAGTTTTTTATGAAAGAAAATAGGATTATGTTATGAAATAGATAGTCATTACATTTTCGCATTTTTAGCAAAAATCCAGTTTCACGTTTCCGCATTTTCGTGCATTACTTTTCCAAAATAAATGGATACCACCTTTCCGCATTTTTACCTGTATTTCACCTGTAAAAAAATGGTAATAATGATATATAAGACTTTATTTTATTATAGTATTTTTTCTTACAGGTAATTTGTATTTTATTATGATAATATAATTCCTTCAACAGGTATATTATATTCAGATTTAACATTGTGAGTACTTTTCAAAAGTCACCATGTGGAAAGTCACCCCATATGCGTTGAATTCCGTATTTGGTTATATCTTTTATATCATTTGCATATGTTTGATTTATTTTTTGGACACTCAATTTCATGTCCTTATTTGGTCTCGGTCAGTATTTCCATTTGCATATCATTGTTCTTCGAAAAGTTCACAGTGTTTGAACTTCTGGTATTTAAGAAAGTGTATTTTGAGAGTTTTAATTGATATATGACCATGTATGTTTTTTATCATTTTAAGTTGATAGTTTCATTTTAATCATAATTTAAATGGGGATCAGTGTTGGAATTTATTGTGAATCTACATTGTTTGTAAACAAGATCATGTGAATGGCCCTAAAATGGTGCATGCCCTTATGTTTTGGTCCTGTGGACAGTGTATTAGTTACAATTTTTTTTCATACACCTTCCAAATTTATTTCTTTATGTTTTGACGTCCAAATGTTGACCTCCAAATCACATTTCTTCTGATTTTATTGTTTTTTGTGTCTTAAGGTTGTTGTCTCATTAACATATGGCCAGGGAACACAGTTATCATCCATTGAATTTTCATTGTCTACAAATATAGTCCCTAGTGGGACAGTGTATTAGTTACAATTTTTAATACCCCTTCCTATTTTATTTCTTCATATCTTTTGCCACAAGTATCAAGTAGAGGGATCAAATTACACTGTAGAAAAAATTGGGTTATGAATTTTCAAGTAAAGTAGTTATTTGGTCCAGCTGAAAAAGGTTAAAAATTAGTATGTCTGAAGCTGTCAAAAGAATTCAAGACCCCCTTTACATAAAATTGTCCATATTTTGAGTTAGAGTTGATGAAGTTTTCTATAATTTTGATATAATTTCTCCCAACAGAAGTACACCATACTGTAAAAATATTATTGAGAAAGCGCAGGTGGGATTTTTTTAATTTTCATTTATTGTCTGAAAGAAATGCACTACGAAATAACTGTGTTCTCAGGCCTTTTGATTGTGGCAAAGGAAGGGGCTACATTTGTAGTTAAATGAATGATATATGAAAGCTTGTGATTTCTACAGGTAAACCATGTATAAATTTAATTGAAGAAGTAGGTTTGTATTGAAGCCAATGGGCGATTTTTTACTGAGTTTACCCCTTAATTAACAATGGTTCCAATGGCTTTAGAGATGTCAAATCTATGTTAGTTAGTTCATCTGATCAACCACATTTACATTTTTTTTAATCTTTTATTTCAATATAAAAATAAGAAGATGTGGTATGATTGAAAATGAGACAACTCTCCACCAGAGACGAAATGGCATAGAAATTTACAACTATAGGTCACCCTGCAGCCTTAAACAATGAGCAAAACCCATACAGCATACCTAAATGACCAATTTAAAACAATTCAAACAAGAAAACTAACAACTTGATTTATGTTCAAAACAATGCATGAAAAACAAATATGATATACAGCAACAAAAAACAACCACTGAATTACAGACTCCTGACTTGAAGCATGACTTCCATCTGTAGACTTAAACATTGATAATAAAGCAGATTATCACCCTGGTGAAAAAAACAATCCAATTGATTTATCTTGTCCTTTGAACTTACCTCATCATCCATGTTGTTTGGATTATATTTCTTCGCCATATTTGGATCAAATGATATACTGAGAAAATGCAGCTGTATGTCTGGATAGAAAGATTTATCTCCCTTGGATGAATGTGTATACAAAGTGGCTTCTAAAGCTGAGGAAGTCAAATAACCTGTATTGAAAAAAAAAATTCAATACTTTTAAATAAAATATTTGAAAGTTTTTATCTTAAAATCAATGACAGCATTTTGACATTTCAAAAAATTCTAATCAATCTTCCTTATAAGGAATAAAACCACTAATTGATAGCTGCAATTTAAAGGATTTATAGCTAAATGGTCTTAAATTAAACTAGAGTCTCTAAATAACCTGTGTTGCTCACCTGCATCTTCAATAATGGCCACTTTTTGATAAAAATTATCATGAAAGAGCAACAACTCTATATATTAAGAGTTAACTGACAATTTCAGTCATGTTGATGTATTTGTAGATCTTGTCCTGCTGATGATTTTTGCTTTTTAAAGTTTTATCTACATTTGTATCTGCTATACTTTTCAAGATGATAGGCATAAACTAAAAAACAATGGTAAAAAATTATCTTTAAGTGGCAATAACTCCATTAATGAGTTGAATCAAGATTTAAGCCATGATTGCTTATTTGTAAAAAAAAGTTGGTAAAAATTGTCATTAATGAGCAATAACTTCAATGATGAGTCCTCTGAAGATTTCAGTCATTTAACTTTTTTGTAGATCTTGTCTTGCTTATCATTTTTTCTCATTAAAGTTTCACTCTATCTCTTAAAGTTTCCAAAATAATTGGCAAAATGAAAAAAAATGGTAAAATTTGACATTTAAGGGCAATAACTCATTTAAGAAAACATCTGACAATTTTGACCTAAATGGACAGCAGGTAAATCTCAATCTTTTGAATATATCAGCCACAAGTCAGAATTTCTCTGTTCATAGCAGTTTTCAAGATAATAGACAAAACTTGTATTTTACCTCTGTGTTCTTTTTTTAGCCATGTCAGTAATCTTGGTTGGCAGGCAAGGTTGTCAGACAATTTTTTTAAACTTGATACCCCAATAATGATTGTAGCCAGGTTTGGTTAAATTTGGCCCAGTAGTTTTAAAGAAGAAGATTTTTGCAAGATAGTAAGCAAAAACTAAAAAAAAATGGTAAAAAACGTCATTAAAGGGAAATAACTCTAATAAGGAGTCATCTGACTATTTCGGCCAAGTCAATTTATTTTTAGATCTTGCCTTGCTGATTATTTTTGCTATTTAAAGATTCTCTCTATCTTTTATAGATTTCAAGATAATAGGAAAATTTGTCATTTAAGGGCGATACCTCCTAGATATGTCGTCTGACAGTATGCAAAAGGAGAATTGCACTGACAAAATCAATGATGCTAAAGATAAAATTATAGTTATACACTTTTCTCTTTTAATACTCACCTTTTCCAAAGAGAAAATATTGTAGGAGTGTTTTGATACTGGTAGCTTTAATAATGTCTATACCATATGACACATTAGCATAAATAGGTAAACTACAGAACATGTGATCTTGTAAGTTAGATCCCACAGGAAGGTCAGCATGCACTGGGATCTGTAAGAAATGTGTGTTTTTAAAGGGAAATACACTAATATAGATGACCATGTGATCACATATACTACTGCCAGCACCATAATACAAGAACAGTTTATGTCCACAGTAAAATTCAAACTGAACCTGTATATAATGATCAAAGACATTGTGTATCAATTAAAAAAGATTCTGCCAAAACAGTAATTTTTAACCAGAAACAAGCAAAACCACAAATTTTTAAAATTAAATAAAGAGACATAACTCTTGATCAGTAAATGTCAAATCTATCAAAATCACACATGTAGTAAATGGTCTATGACAAAATGTAAAAATTTTTTAATAGAATCGGTCCAGTGGAACATGAAATTTATAGTGTGTTGTTTTCATTTTTTTTTTAAATCATCCGAATAAAAAAACAAAACTTTATTTAAAATAATAGACCGCTTTAGAGTTATGTCCTTCACCGGAAAAGTTCGTCAATATTAAGCGTGCCTTTTATATGAAGTCATTAACCAGATAGAGGGGATCACCTGTATCCCTGCACTATTAAAGTTCATCAAGCGTCTTTGTGATCGTCATTATGCAGGATAAACTAGAACTAAAAGTACTTAATCACAATTCCCTAATGACAGCAGTGCTGATAATCAATTATAAGAAACTAATTTGCCAAATAATTTGTTCAATATTTTTTCAACCGCTTGCTCAAAATGAGAAGGAAGTGACGATGCCCATAAATGCATGAATGATTTTCACTAAAACCAAAGTTTTTGACGGAAATGCAACAAACTCAAAAGTGGTCTAATAAGGGGTTAAACTCTTGAACAGTAACTGCAAAAACAGTCAAAATCACAATAAAACCTAAAAGATGTTGTCAAGTGGTACTTATCAACCAGAATAAAAAAAAATGTTTTTTTTAACATAATAAAGAGACACAATTCTTGAACATGAATTCCAATTTCTGATAACCAAAAAATATTCTTTTTTTTTAGATACTTTAAGTATTTAACTCTTGAATAGTAAAGGTCAAAAATGTCAAAATTATACTTGAAATGTATCTTATGGTCCATGGCATGGTGATCCAATTTAAAACATTAAGTCAAGCAGCACTTACATTATCATAAAGAAATCACACAGTGTTACTGTAAGAGCATCAATATATACCCCCGCCTTATGCTCCATACAAAATGTGCTTCTGGCAAATGCTTTTATACCCCAATAAAATTACAAAAAGAAGCATTCAAATCATTGTTACTTTTAAAGTTTCAGCAGCTTATCATGATAAAGTTTAATGAAGACATTATACATCATTGATACCATTTAATTGCCTTCAACTGCTCAAAATGCTCTTTAGCATTACTATTCCCTAAAGCATTATAATAAATGAAAGCTAACATGGTTACATCTCACCTTAAACTGTTCTAAGTGTTGTTTAGGACCTATCCCAGAAAGCATCAGTAACTGAGGAGAATTTACACTTCCTGCTGATACAATTACTTCCTTTTTCACCATGATTCTTTTCTTCCTGCCATCTTTAATCATTTCAATACCAACAGCTTTTTTATTCTCTATTATTATCTGTAATATCAATATCAGTCATTTTTTTTGAAATCTTAAATTTATTAGTCTATCTTATTAGTCTATTTTCTTTTATGCGCATTTTCAGTGAGTGTTTTAGTCAAAAGATTCTACTTTATTACTGTTTATACATTTAAGTGAGGGTCATGTAGACAACATTGCTTATGCCAGTTTGTACTAGATTTTTTCTGTTGACATCATGGGGCCAAGAATAATATTTGTTACCTCCCTTTGACTTCTTTAATAGGCTTGGTTGGTTTACAAAAAGTAAGCCTAATAAGTTCTGCTCTCAATTGTGATGTTGTTGATAACTTATCCTCTCACATTGTTATTTTGCTGATAAGTTCCACTCTAATGTCACAAATCTGTGATACGAGAATTAATAAGCAACCGAAGAGGGTGATATAGGCGCCGGTAAGAGCAATGAACATGTAATGTAAAGTGTCCTTCTCTGTTAGAGTCTGAATTAATGGTTTAACAGTAATAGCATATTCTTTATTAATTAAAGATTTAAAACAACATGTAAATTTTCTACCTCGTGTCTAGTTTGAGTACTCTTACTTTCACCACACATTTTACCTTAGTAACGATAGAATTGATACTAATGTGTAAATTTTCTCTCTCCATGACAGGTCTGAGATAGGCCTTAGCTGTACTCCACCTCTGTCCATTCCTAATAGATGACTGCATCTTACAAAATCCTAAAAAAGATATATTTAGAATAGATATATTTAGAATATATCATCATAAAAATAATCAATGTGCCGTAAACTTAGAGGTTTCTTCAAGAAAACTATTACAACTTCATACACTCATTTTAGTTTGGAATTTATTTATATCTTAAACCATCTACTGCTGTGTCTTTTAAGAACAGTAAAGTATACTGGGGCTCTTTTCACAAAAATATCTTATGACTAAAATTGATCATAAGCTCTACTGAAATGTTTATGACTTACAAGTATTTTTTCTCTTAAAATTTTTTTGGTGAAATGAGTCGCTGAATTGTATCTAATCATATATAAGTGTAAACCAGAAACCTCTCGAAATAAAAATAAATGTGATTTTATCATACAATGTTTACTATCTTTCGTAATTTTAGGCATTTGTCAAACAAACAAAACCTATATATAATCTCCATGGAGTTAGTTCAGAGAGGTTACACTGCATTTGCTGAAATTTGAATCTTAAATCTTATATTTTGACAAATTTATCAAACTTTACCAATCATATTCTCCCCATTACAGTCAACAGTTTTATAGCCTGCTTCTTCCGATGCTGCCATGTAAATGTCTCTTAACTCTGTCACTAGACTTTCTGATACAGTTTGGTAGCCTCCTTTACCATGGTAACCTGTGAAAAAGTAAACACCATTATAGTTGTCATACTACTCATTGATACAGTCTAAGCCCTGTCACATAACAGTCCTATCTATTCAGGTACCTATCATTACCATGGTAACAAGAAAATAAAACTATAACTTATTGGTTAATTTTGGATATCCAACATTACCCCACAATCCTCTTTGTTCTGTCATATAACTTTTCGAAGGCTGTTTAAGCTTAAGATAGCTTAACGTTGTTTCTGTTTGATCATATACATGTATTAACTTATGTACCAAATTTATGCACCAGACAGTTTTTTTCTGGAATAACCTTCATCAGGTTATACAATTGGACGGGATACCAAGCACTAAAATTCAATGATACATTCAAAGAAGTGTTACCAGTAGTTCACTCTAGTATAAAAGTCAAGGAGGTATATTCATACAATGCATATGAAAAAAAAAAAAAATAAGGGGCTAACATGTTACATAATTAAAGCAAAAAAAACAACACATGAACATGATTCAGCTTTTTTAACTACATCTTAATTTATGCTCAAATGATTTCCTGGTGAAGAAATAGCTATTTTACACAGAAGCCTTATGCTTTGAACACTGTATAAAATGAGGAGATATGGTATGGTTGCCAAAGAGACAACTCTCCACCAAAGACCTTCTATAATGAGCTAATTGTACTACCAAGTTTAGATTCTTCATTTCTAATCATTGACCAGGAGATCAACTTAATAAAAAACTCATGACTAATAAAAAACACATGATTAATGGCAAGTAAACATGTTATACCCTCAAGACAGACACAGAACAAAACTTTGAAACAACGATATTTTACTCCCAATCTTATTGACCTTTATGATATTATTGATATAAACCATTCCTACACATTTCTTCAAAACCTCCTCAGTGGTCTCGTGTTCGCCATGATTGCTGGAGGTCGTGAGTTCGAACCCTGGCCAGGTCAAACAGACTTTAAAATTGGTATATGCTGCTTCTCGGCTAAGCACGCAGCATTAAGGAGTAAGAGCAAAGACTGATTGGCTTGGAGTCAGAATTATGTGTCTGGGTATTAAAGGTGACATGTCTTCCTATGGGCTGTTGCCTTATGAACTAGCATGTTAAAAATCTGGCTAAGCGTGTCAGTCTAGTACAGGGTTATCACTCATATTACATTAAAATGTTCTCGTCCTGAATATGCATATTAATATAATTTTGCAGCTGGACGTTAAGCAGCCATCCATCATCATCATCATCATCATCATCATCATTTCTTCAAAATTAGTAGAGAAATGTGAGTGTAAACAGCATTCACAGGACAATTTTGGTGTATTAACTTTTGGGTAGAAATTCCAATAGTTAACACATTTTACATTATTGTGGTAATTAAAATTATTCTTTTAGACATTTGACAACAGGCCTTCTTCCATTTCTTTGTCATCCTAGACAAACTTCATTCTTAACAAGTCACTTTTCCTATACATTTTGTTTTATTCACCTGAATCGGCATATTCATCCATTTGAAAGTCCTCTGCTTTTATAAAATAGGGTAAAACATCTTTATAACTCCATCCATTACACCCTTCTTTTTCCCAATGATCAAAGTCATGGCGACTACCTCTGATGTAGACCATGTTGTTAAGGTTACTAGTTCCACCAAGTACTCGTCCTCTTGGCCAGTATGATCTCTGACATTATATATTAATCATAATAAAAACCTGTTCATACTGAATAAAATTTTGTATGCTATAAAAATCTTTGCAACTAGCAGCCACTGCTAAAAGATATTGGTCATTCAACTAAACTCCTAATAGCCTTTTGTATATACAGTATGGAATGCTAGAGAGATAAAATATATTATTAGCCTTGCAGGAAGTTAGTTTTAAAAAATGAAAAAAATATTTTTTCATTCATTAAAATATTTAAATACAGATGAATGTATCTAAAGTGATGATACTAAATATACCAGTGTTAAGTTCATAATCTGGTCATTTTTTTTACATTTTAACATTTGCATTTATCCTATAATCACATGTTTTACATTTCATGAACAAACCAAAGTATTATTGTCAGAAATCATCTTTTTTGATTAAATCTGTGTTTATATTGAGCAGATTAAAAATATATTTGTGATATTAAATAAATACAACATCACATGCAGTTTTGTGAGTTGATACATGTATTTTCATCTATTTTGTAGATATTTTTTTTCTTCAGATTAATTATTCAATGAGTGATGGATTTCTATAAGAAGAAATTTAAAGGTCCCAGTGAATAAATTCCACAGAGAACAATGCCTATTGAATTCTTTCAATGGGGCAGTACATTGCCCATAAATTTATATGGTTGCAGGTAAAGCAAGTCAAACTGGGGAAATATTTTATTTTCTTTGCAGTAAGTTTTTTTTTAATATTTCAGATTATCAAATTAGCTTTTCTATTAAAGTCTGAGGGGATGATTTAGCATAATGTTCCCATATCAGATTTACTTCCCTTTGTCATTTTTGTATGATATGTAGAGCATAGATTTTTGGTTTGATATGAAGAGAACTGGACTCTCTCTAATGGTGGAGAGTTGTCTCATTGACAACCAGACCACATCTTCTTATTCTTATATCAGGTGTTTTTGATAGATGTTTTTCTGCTTTGTACCGATCTGATGAGTTAAGCCCTTTTCAACTTTGTTCTCATATTGTTCTGATACACCACTGGCACTGTCACAGGTTAGGGCGAGCATTTGGCTCCAGCAAACTAGTTTAACCCTGTCACATTCTGTATGTACCTGTCCTAAGTCAGGAGCCTGCAATTCTGTGGTTGTCTTTTGTTGCTGTTTATCATTCATTGTTTTGTACATAAATCAGGTCGTTAGATCTCTCATTTGAATTGTTTTACATTTGTCATTTCAGGGCCTTTTATAGCTCATTATGCAGTATGGGTTTTGTTCATTGTTGTAGGCAGTATGATGACATATAGTTGTTAACCGTCTAGGTCATTTGGCATCTGGTGCAGAGTTGTCTCATTTGCAATCATACTACATCTTCCTATTTATTTATCAGCTGAATCAATCTTGATGCATCTTTTGACTGACAAGTCCAGACATATTTTCATGACTTCTGGATGGTCTTAAAGTCTTAGTGAGAACTCTGTTGGTATAAATCTTCTTGTCAATCAAGTTAACCTTTTTCTCATTTTTTGTGAAGAACAATTTTTGGTTTTGTACAACATGTACAATGCTCCTTGTCAAGTCAGTTTTCCTCATATTTTGCATACTTTTGGTTTATCAATGTTTTTGCATGACCTCTGCTGCATCTTTTTGTGTGTATAAGTATAATTCCCTCAAGAATTTCTTCCAGAAACATTATTAAGAACAATACTATAATAAATGTTACGTTTTGCATAAATATTTTATGACTTTTATTTCACGATGAACAAATATTGTAATATTTCTTCCAGTGGCAGTAATATTTCAGTTTTGAATTTTCCTTGGAGTTCGGTATTTTTATTATTTTTCTTTTTACAGCATTTTTTCATATTGGATTTAATATCATAAAGGTACCTTTGTTTTTTTTGATGTGCTTATGCATCTTTTTTGTCTTTAAGTTATATACTCCCAGTCAAGTTACCTTTTGTCTTTAAGTTATATACTCCCAGTCAAGTTACCTTTTCTTTCATGCTCTGTGAAGCATACTTTTGAGGTTCTGTATAATACTCCCAATCACTCTCAGTCCTCTGGAGGGCAATAAACCCTGCTGGGATTTCAAACTCTAGAATTCCTAATTCTGAACCACCTGCTTCTATCAATAGGACAGAAGTATCTTTGTCTTCTGACAGACGATTGGCTACTACTGCACCTGCAGAACCTGCTCCAACTGAAATAAAATGTTCATGAAATTCAGGAAGGCACCATATATTATGAGATACAATCTGGCCCTCTCCTTTCCATAGTTGAGGGGACCGGATCATAGTCCTTAGGGAATATGAAAAAGCTCATACATTCATCTTAATAATTCAAATACAGATTTTATAAGAACAATCTCTTGATTATAATATATATTCATTCAGGATAGTTCAAGTTATTAAAAAACTATTGAGAGAGGATAAAATTTACATAATAAATAGGGTTAAGTGGTAGAATCTGTTTTTCAAAATATTTAATGAAAAAATCCCAGAAAAATATTCCAAACAGATAATTAACCTACAAGAAATAACACATAAAAATTATATAAACCTATGATTTAACAAAAATAAAGCCAACTGGTAAGAACTGGTTTATTTATACTGGTGTACATGAACAATAAGAGAAAAGGCAATGTCAAGTTGTCAACCCATCTTGATAATTAAGTGTTAGACCACAGAAATTAGTTAATTAACCTATACACATATAGTTTGTTTGCTTTTGTTTTGCTTTATAAACATGATAAACATGATAAACATGATAAAAGAACTCACCAACAATATAGTCATATGTTGAGTTGAGTGGTCGGCTGAGGTAGATATCTGATGGTTTGTTGAAGTAAATATAACCAGCAATTACTGCTACAACCAATACTGCTATAGGCATCCATGAAAAACACATGTTGTATACTGCCTCTCTAAAATATACTTAGGTGTAAATCTACAATAAAAGAAAAGAGACTCAGGGGCAGTTGGTAGCATTTACAGTTCTATAATTTGACAAATCTCATTGGTTGAAGGCCGTACAGTTGCCTATAATTGCTTACATCCACTTTATTTGAACTTTTTAGTGGATATATAGTTGTCTCATTGGCAATCATACCACAACTCCTTACTTTCATAAAGTTTATGTTTTGTTCCTGCATTTAAGATAGTAAAAAAATAATCATGATAATAAAGCTGTGCAATATTTCCTTAGGCCATATGCATGCAAAAAAGATTTTTGGTTTCTCCTAATCCAGCCAGGTCTGTTTTTACCCTCCGGGTCAATTCTTTCTTTGAACAGATGTAAAAACAAAATAAACTGCTTCGCTGAGCGCAGATGGATACGCCCGCAGAGGTCCAACCCTGAACAGTTGGGGCAAAAATGGACACAATATTCAAGCTTGATACAGGTTTGAATTTGGATTGTAATTAAATATTTGACATATTATAGGTTTCTGAATAAATGTAGTCAAAGAACTTGAAATTGGTTATATGAATTGAATTTATATTCAATTAAAGATTTCTTGCTGTTGTGCAATACACTGTGCTGTTGCGAAATACTTAGTAAATCTGTTGTCAGACTATAAACAAATAAAGTTCAATCAATTCTCAATGTCATATTAGAAATTTATGAAAATGTAAAGGGAGCTAACATCAATAGATATAAACAATTCACCAAAGTTTCATGAGAATTGCTGACAGCATTTTTGAGTTATTGTCCGAAAACTGGAAAATCCCCCCTTTTTTAATGAATAAAACCCCAGAACTCAGAAATGATAAATAAAAATTTATAAAATTCTAAACGGAGCTTACATCAATAGATATAAACAATTCTCCAAAGTTTCATAAGAACTGCTGAAAGAATTTTTGATTTTTTGTCTGAAAACTGGAAAATCCCCCTTTTTTTATGAATAAAACCCTGTAACACGGAAATGTAAAATCTAAAATATATAAAAATCGAAAAGGAGCTCATGTCAATAGATATAAACAATTCACCAAAGTTTGAAGCAATTTGGTTAAAGCGTTTTTGAGTTAATGTCTGACATGTTGACGACGGACGGACAGACGGACGGACCGACAGACGGATAACGGTATACCATATTACATGTACGTCCCGTAAACGGGCATATAAAAAGAGAGAGACTCTTTTACGACATTTATCAATGATGCTTTAATTGTCTGATAATTCCTTAAAAATGTTTCATTTATCATCTTAAGAGTAAAAAAAAATAGCTTATTTCACAATTTAGATCAAGATATTATGTCGAAAAAAAAAAATTTTCGCAAGAATTTCCTGTCATTGTAATAAGAAATAAATTCTCTGTTATTTTGAGCAAAACTGAATTTGTCTAGTTTGATTTTTCAAAAAAATATTAAACAAAATTAAAAGTTTCTCAGCCTGCCAACTCATTAAAATTTTCTTGTGTTAAGGGAAACAAATATTCTATTTTCAATGGCCTTACACTTAAAAGAATTTGCAAATTTTAGTTTAAAAATGAGGACATAAATAAGACATTCATTCTGGTCAAAAGAAACCTTAAAAATTATAGCAATAAAAAACAATAGATGGCGAAACCCTTAACATCCTTCTAAAGGAAATTTACAAATGCAAGACTTTGTTTTTGTTTTATAAGCAGTTTAAAAGGAGTTTTATTTTAAAAGTTTCACATAATCAACCATATGAGAAAAACACTCAAAATTTCTGCTATAATCAAATAAAAATTATATTTGTTAATTTTGTCAACTCTGGATAAATTCTTATATAACAGCCCAGGCGATATGAAAATTTCGAAAAATCTACAGCTTACAAATTCAAGTTCAAATATTTTATTGTCAATTAAAGACGCCCATTTTGTAACAGACAGAATAATCAAGTTAAATTTGGTACAAATGATTACAATGATTTTATTACAATTAAATTTATGAATGAAATGAAAAGAAAAAGAAAGCTTACATGAATTATTTCTTAATTTTCAATTTAGTTTTTCTTAGCTTGAAGACAAATGAAAGAGATTGAGCTTTTAATTGCATTTGTGATAAAAATCATCATACATGTAAATTTCAGATTTTTTTTGGTATGTTATTATATATATAAATTTCTCAAAAAAAAAACAAGAAAGTCACATTTTGTGCCTCAAAATCTTCTTTTTGTCAATATTGAAACCATTCAGAAGCGTACGAAAAGTATAAATACGTCTAGTTTTTATGTTTCACATCCAGAGTATACATATGACGTCACATTGTTTAGATGCTAAAGAAGATGCAACAGTTTCGCGGACTTTTTCATTATTGCATTTTTAAGCCAAAATATTTATCAAACAGAATTTATTTTAATATGAGGCATCAGAATGGAGATAACTATATTGTATTTCAAGCTTGACCTTTGTAAAATCTACGTTTTCATTCCTAAAAATATTTCAAAGTCTTCTTTGAAAATTGGAGTTATCTTTCTTTGCGCATAATGGTAGTTGAATCAACTACAACCAATGCTTTATACAATGCAATATTCAATTTTACTTCCTTCTGATAAATTAAAGCAATCTTTACCATTCAGTGCTTACAAGCTGTTTGATTACCATTCTAGGGTTATGCCCCTTTACAAATAAAAAAATTGCTGAATTTTTCATTTCCATTCTCCATGTGTTCTCTAACTTTAGTTTGCCTCAACCAAATGTTATGAAACTTATACACAATGCTTATTACTTCATAATACAGATTAAATACGAAATTTGGTGGTGTCACTTTTACCATTCTTGAGTTATGTCCCTTTATAAACATAAAAATTGCTGAATTTTTTTGTTTCCGTTCTCTAACTTTAGTTTGTCTCAACCAAATGTTATAAAACATATACACAACCGTTCTAGAGTTATGCATGTTTACAAATAGAAAAATTGCTGAATTTGTAGTTTCTATTCTCTACTTAAGTTAGCCTCAACCAAATGTTATGAGACTTCCACACAATGCTTATTACCACAAAACTCAGATCAAGTTCAAATGTGGGTAGCGTCACTTTTACCGAGTAAATAAAAATTACTTGTACAAATAGTACCCCTGACAGACAGTTATCCCCTAATTCTAATAATTCAATCAGCAACATTTTCATATATTTCATCATAATTTTTTCTACCTGGTCATATTCCATGAAACCAGAAATAGTGACCAGTCACACATCCTTACTACTCCTTACATAGTTTATACTTTTATCATTGAACATTGATACCTTTGTTGTATAATACCCATCATTGTCATTGATATAATACCCATTTAAAGGATCTTCCGCAACCTGTCCAAATGGTTAAGGTTCATGTGGACCCTTTGCCTAAAATGGGTGCATTTTCACCTCAAATATAATATTTCTAATAATATAAAAATTTTGTGAAAGCTAACCGACAGACGGACGACAAACGACGGACGCCAAGTGATGCCGGCTTACACTACTTTTTGGGCCAGGTGAGCTTAAAATATGAAAAGTCGGTACCTTATTAACATATAATTTTCGACCTTTGATCAAGGCTTCGGCTTCGGTGATACAATATTAATCCTCTAGATTTTGACCTCGCTTTTTTCTGCAACAAGGGAGATAATTTGTGGACATTCGGAAGTATTGCGTTCCGAATGCAAAGTCAGCATGGATCATAGAAGTTTGACCACCGCATTGAAAGAGTTTTCATCATTGACTTCAAAACTCGAGGACTTTTTAAGGTAATCTTCCCGGGATCTTCAATATATGAGTTCTTAAAACTTACATGGGGCAGGTGTTACCTGTAAAAGAGGACGAAATGAAAATGAAAAACACCATCTCAAAGCAGGGTTGTCATTAGATAATCAAATAAATTATTAAATGGATATATGATCAATCTTTCATTATTAATGAAAGATTGATCATATATCCATTTAATGATTAAGGTACGGTTTTGACTATTCGACAACCGATTGATACAATTACAGGTAACCTGAAAATTAATTGTAACAATAACATCGATTGATAATGATTGAATGTCAACTGGCAACTCTATAATAGTCTATATTAAATGAGAGGAATTCTAGACAGTTCGGTACCCAGACAAATCGGCATCCGGACAAATAAATCGGCACCCGAGAAAGACACTTCGGCACCCAGACAAATCAGCACCTAGACAAATCGGCATCTTCTTATAGTTCAGGTATTTCACATCCAATTTTCTATGGAAATATTCTTTATAAAGCACAAAAATGTCAGTATTCACCTCTGAAGCTAACAAAACCTTTAAATAGACTTATTAAGAAGGGATATAGTTACGATACTGTTGTCAGGTCATTAAAGATTGCATATTTTGGCGTTAATATTGATTCACTTATAGGGTCTTTGCATCGGCACTAAACACATTTATTTAAAAACCAGTTGTTGGCATGACACGGGTTATGTTCTTCTCATATATGTTATGATGGTATGATACTAAACCCCTAACGGGAAGGATTGTGCCTGATATTCATATGATGAAGACATAATCTTTCAATCAGTTTAATTGAAGTCTGGAGCTGGCATGTCAGTTAACTGCTAGTAGTCTGTTGTTATTTATGTATTATTGTCATTTTGTTTATTTTCTTTGGTTACATCTTCTGACATCAGACTCGGACTTCTCTTGAACTGAATTTTAATGTGCATATTGTTATGCGTTTACTTTTCTACATTGGCTAGAGGTATAGGGGGAGGGTTGAGATCTCATAAACATGTTTAACCCCGCCACATTTTTGCGCCTGTCCCAAGTCAGGAGCCTCTAGCCTTTGTTAGTCTTGTATTATTTTTAATTTTAGTTTCTTGTGTACAATTTGGAGTTTAGTATGGCGTTCATTATCACTGAACTAGTATATATATTTGTTTAGGGGCCAGCTGAAGGACGCCTCCGGGTGCGGGAATTTCTCGCTGCATTGAAGACCTGTTGGTGACCTTCTGCTGTTGTCTGTTCTATGGTCGGGTTGTTGTCTCTTTGACACATTCCCCATTTCCATTCTCAATTTTATCTAACATAGACAAATCGGCAGCTTATAAAGATAAAATCAATTATTTTATCCTTGATCAACATATAGTGAACCAAACATTAAAGTTACCTGGCACTGATATATGTATGTGGGTATGAACTCAATTTACAAGTTTAGTGTTAATATAGCGATTATGTTTGACTGTTTTTACAAATTACCAATTTAATTCCTGCACTATTTATGACATTATTGGCAATATTGTATATGGTATCTTCGAAGAAGTATCTTATTCTTTTTGTTTTTTTTTATTTGTGAAGACTGTATTGCAGCTTAGTCATTTGGATAGCTGTCTTGTCAACTTATTCGTAGATCTAATTTTGTTGAACATTTTTGTCACTTAAAGTTTCCCTTCATCTATTATACTTTCTTAAAAAAAACTTGAAAATTTAATTTAAAAAAAAATGCCTTTCAAGCCAATAACTCCTATATGGGATAAATTTACAATTTCGGTCAGTTAACTTAGTCAACTTAGTTGTAGACACATAATTTACATAGTAAACGATTAATTATACTGCACTAGAATTATATGTATGTTCGCTCTTAATGAGCATGAAATACTTGCAACTGGACAATAAGCAAATTCAGTTAAAAGTTAATTCATATGTTACATATTAAATTTGCAATTAAATTTGCAATTATGATAATCATTAACAACCGGCATTGAACAAACTAATGCTAATAAATTACTACCTCAACAACTGTTTCCCCATCATAGAATTGCCATAAACGTTATTGATTTTATTTAGGACATACATGTATTGGCGCTAAAAGACGTGAGACGTTCTGGCGTTTAACAGTGGACACGTTTTAGCGAATAACAATTATCGGACACGTTTGGGGGTTTTGAAATCGGACACGTTTGGGCCATATTGAATATTACGGACACGTTTGGGGAGAATAGACACGTTTGGGGGAATCGGACACGTTTGGGAGTGTTACATATGTTTCTGGGTTTTTACTCATTATGGCTTGCACGCGCTTTTATGTTTATGGGTTTTAATATTAAAACAATAAAATATAGTTGTTTTTACAGATGTAAGGATCAAACGAGAACACAAGCTGAAACACAAGCTATACACTTTTGATCTCTCATTTGTCTCTATTGAGAAATTATCAGATTTATACATAAAATACTGATTAATGCATAACTACAATTAATTATGATTTAATTAAATGATGTTTATTCAAACACCGTCATATCTAACAATCAATTATGATTTAATTAAATGATGTTTTACTATTCATACACAATCATTTAGGATTTAATTAAATGATGATTTCAAATTTTGTTATTGCATATTTTATCAACGGATTATAATATTACGGTAACAATTCTTTTATTTTTCCTAATATATATATTTAAAAAAATAAGGTGCCGAATTGTCTTGGTCCCGAAATGTCCGGATCCCGAACTGTCCAAAATGGATGCCGAAATGTCTTCGGACTTGGGTGCCGATTTGTCTGGGTGCCGAAATGTCTTGTTACCAAATGAGAGGGGGCCTCGGTGGCCTAGTGGACTAAGAAGTCGCACTACTGTATCACTTGCCTGTCAAATTTGAGGTTGTGAGTTCAAATCCCGCACGTGGCAGGTGCACTCCAGGCTCTACAATAACTTTTTTTTCAACTTGCCCAATAGGACAAGTACATACCAAAACTTACTTGTCCGAATGGAATTGTAACTTGTCCAAAAAAAAACCTTTATATTAACCTTTTTTTTGCATTTTAGGTTAATTCAACATGTTCAATGAACAAAATGAATTAAATCAATACAACATAATTTGATTTATATCTCATGTATCTCTTGATGTATCTCTTGATATCCTTTTCAAAAATATGAGTCAAGAACAACTGAATCTAGTCATGTCTAGTCACAGGACTTAGGTTCTAGTTTTCATCAAAGCCAAAGTCATATCAAGACTCTGCACATCAGGCACAGTCTGGTAGGCCTGTCAGTCTACACTAATTAGGTTTGTATCCTGGTCTTTTATGCTGATAAAATATTGATTATTATGATTAATGCCTTACTACAATCAGCTTTGTTTTAATATCTTAAAATGCTTATTCAAACACAATCAAATTTTGTTTTTCTAAATATGATCAAATATGATTTTCTGAATTCTATGGTCAATAATTTCTTCATTTTTATTTTTAAAATATTTTTGTTAAATAAAATTTATCATATATAGATATAAGAAGATTTGGTATGAGTGCCAATGAGACAACTCTCCATCCAAGTCAAAATTTAAAAAAGTAAACCATTATAGGTCAAAGTACTGTCTTCAACACAGAGCCTTGGCTCACACCGAACAGTAAGCTATAAAGGGCCCCAAAAATTACTAGTGTAAAACCATTCAAACGGGAAAACCAACGGTCTAATCTATATAAAAAACGAGAAACGAGAAACACTTATGAACCACATCAACAAACGACAACTACTGAACATCAGATTCCTGACTTAGGACAGGTGCAAACAAATGCAGCGGGTTTAAACGTTTTAATGGTACCAAACCTTCACCCTTTTTCTGAAACAATAGTGTAACATCACAACATAGAAAGACACACTATAAAATAACATATATTTATTATAAAGCAACAGAATAAGGTAGAGACGAGGTACTGGTTTGTCTTTGTCCCGAAATATCTCCAACAGTGCCGAAATGTCTATTAAACATGAAGCTGATTCGTTTCCGTGCCGGTACCGAACTATCTTGTTACAAAGCGCACTGCAGATTCCGATTGGTAAGACTGGTTTCCGAGAATAGTATGCCTTTAATCTGTTATAAAGTATCTGACAAAGAACCAGTTTTAAATTATCGATCACAAGTAAACATGTCAAATTAATATTTGTTTTTATCTTCTTTTCTTGTTTTTATACGACCGCAAAAATTAAAAATTTTTTGGTCGTATATTGGTATGACGTTGGCGTCGTCGTCTTCGTCGGCGTCGTCCGAAGACACATTGGTTTTCGCACTCTAACTTTAGTTTAAGTGAATGGATCTCAATGAAATTTTACCATAAGGTTCAATACCACGAAAGGAAGGTTGGGATTGATTTTGGGGGTTATGGTACCAACAGTTAAGGAATAAGGGGCCAAAAAGGGGCCAAAAATAAGCATTTTTGTAACTTCCAGACAATAACTTGTGTGTAAGTGTATGGATCTCTCTGACATTGTACCACAAGGTTCCATATCACAAAGGGAAGGCTGTAATTGATTTTGGGGGTAATTGCCTCAAAATTTTAGGAATTAGGGGCCAAAAAAGGGGCAAAAAACAAGCATTTTTCTAGTTATATGACAATAACTTGTGTGTAAGTGTTTGGATATTTCTGAAATTGTACTACAAGGTTCCATATCACAAAGGGAAAGCTGGAATTGAGTTTGAGGGTAATTGCCCGAAACGTTTAGGAATTGGGGGCCAAAAAGGGGCCAAAAATAAGCATTTTTCTAGTTTCCAGACAATAACTTGTGTTCAAGTGTATGGATCTCTCTGAAATTGTACTGCAAGGTACCATACCACAAAGGGAAGGCTGGGATTGAGTTTGGGGGTGATGAATCATAAGGGGGTTCAAAAAATTTGGGGAGGGGGGAGGATTTTTTTTCTTTTCTTTTTTTTCCTTTTTTTTTTCTTTTAAAATTTTCCATTTTAAGTTGGTTATTTCTGATTTATATTTAAAAGCAAATAATAATGATATAGTAGGAGATACACACCAAACAGGATGTGTAAATTATTATATAATAAGTATTGTGCAATAGCAAGAAATTTTCAATTGCACAGTATTGCAAAATAGCAAGAAATCTTCAATTGCACAGTATTGCGCAATAGCAAGAAATCTTCAATTGCACAGTATTGCACAATAGCAAGAAATATCCAATAGCACAATATTGCGCAATAGCAAGCAATTGTCAATTGTACAGTATTGCGCAATTGCAAGAAATATTCAATTGCACAGTATTGTGCAAAAGAAGATACTTTGTATAAATTGCTTATTTCTTGACCAATTTCAATGGGGTTTTATTCTTGAATTCTTGGGGTTCTTTAATATGCTGAATCTAACTGTGTATTAAGTTTTTGGATTTTGGGCCCAAGATTTTAAATTGGTCCACATTGAGGTCCAAAGGGTCCAAAATTTAACTTTGTTTGATTTCATCAAAAATTGAATTTTTGGAGTTCTTTGATATGCCGAATCTAACTGTGTATTTAGATTCTTAATTTTTGGTTCCGTTTTCAAATTGGTCTACATTAAGGTCCAAAGGGTCCAAAATTAAACTTAGTTTGATTTTAACAAAAATTTAATTTTTAGGGTTCTTTGATATGCTGAATCTAAACATGTATTTAGATTTTTGATTATGGGCCCAGTTTTCAAGTTGGTCCAAATCGGGGTCCAAAATTAAACTTTGTTTGATTTCAACAAAAATTGAATATATGGGGTTCTTTGATATGCTGAATCTAACCATGTATTTAGATTTTTGATTTTTGGACCCCGTTATCACCTTTGTCCACATTGAGGTCAAAAGGGTCCAAAATTAAACTTTGTTTGATTTCATCAAAATTGAATTCTTGGGGTTCTTTGATATGCTGAATCTAACCATGTATTTAGATTTTGGATATTGGACCATAATAGGTGAATGTCCAATTTAAAATTTTTAAGTTCTTAGACCACATTCATTCTGTGTCAGAAACCTATGCTGTGTCAAATATTTAATCACAATCCAAATTCAGAGCTGTATCAAGCTTGAATGTTGTGTCCATACTTGCCCCAACTGTTCAGGGTTTGACCGCTGCGGTCGTATCAAGCTGCGCCCTGCGGAGCATTTTATTTTTGTTTATTACTTTGATCATCAAAGTTGAATTTAATTTATTTTCTACAGATTGATTTTACTTGTCCCATCAGACAAGCTTGATATAGCTTTTACTTGTCCAACCTTTTTTTCCTCTGGTACGGGACAATCGGACAAGCGTTATTGTCGAGCCCTGCACTCCCCTCCAATCTTAATAGACAACTTTCGAGTTTGATGCATTTCCGTCAAAAACTTTGGTTTTAGTGAACATCATTCATGCGTTTAGGGGCATCGTCACTTCCGTTCCCATGTTGAGCGAGTGGTTGGAAAACTATGTTGCTATATTGCACGAATTATTTGGCAAATTTAATTCTCATAATTGACAATCAGCACTGCTGTCATAAGGGAATTGTGATTAAGTACCTACAGAACAAACATTATTTCTAGTTTATCCTGCACAACGATGATCACTTAGACACTTGATGAACGTTTATAGTGCAGGAATACAGGCGATCCCCTCTATCTGGTAAATGATGTCATAAAGGCGCGCATAATTGACGAGTTTTTTCTGGTGAAGGACAAACTCGAAAGTGGTCTATTGACTAGGATTGTCAGTTTTCCTATGGCAGGCCGGTGGTTCTCTCTGGGCACTCTGGCTTCCTCCACCAATGAAAACTGTCCGCCACGAAATAGCACAATGGTTTTGAAAGGGGCGTAAAACACCAATCAATCAATCAATCAATCAATATATCAAATGAGTATTTAAAATTATAAATTAATACTCTATTATCATGATTATAAGGATTGATTACATCATGTACATTGACATTGTTTTCAACTCAACTCAATAAAATATTATCAGATGTCTATTGTCAGAGCTGTATAAAATCGTCAGACCCAACCACCAAAAATGACAAGGTCAGTGTGACATGGCTATCATGTCAGACCCTTTATTCAGTAACCAATTTCAATCTATTAGGTCTGATAAAAGTTTTGTTAGAGTCCTATTTGAGTGTAAATAAAAATGTTGACAGGTCTCGTAGTCACTTCCTATGCAGATGAGTAGAAAGGGACAGTGCTAAAGTTAACATCAGGGAATCAGTGCATCAGGTGACCATGGTCAATTCATGTGTACCCTCAACATGCTCAAGTACAAAAAAATGTAGTCCTCAATCACAGTTTCTACCTACGTTCTTGTAAATCTCTATTACCCTTGGTTTATATACAGTGATATTAATTTCTTTTTTCTATACTTGTTGATGAAAGTATGTACAAACTTGATTATACATTTGTTCATTTTTTTTTCAGTTGCAATAATAAGAGTCATGACAGATTTAAGACCTCAACAAAACTTATCTATGACTTTTGTAAGAATTGTGAAAGTAATCGTTTACAAGACCAAGCATTACCAGAACTGATTATTAAACATTTTGACAATGAACAAATTTGGCAAGAGCTGGAGTTACAAAATAATTCCTTAGTTGATAATCTATTAGGAAATGTGGCTGGACTTTTGACTGGGAAACAGTCAGTAAACTTTCTGACAAAAGATACAGGTAAAGAAGTCAGAAAAGAAAATGAAAAGACTCGAAAAAAAGATAAAAATTCAGAAAAAGATGTTGAAGATGAGGCTGATGATACAGATGAAGAAATAGATAAAATAAAATCAAGATTAGAAGGATCTGAAGATGAAATTGATGAAGGTGATGAATCAGATGAAAATGAGGATGTTGATTTTGATTTTAATTCCATTAACCCTCTTCAGAATAATGAAGATGATGAAAGTGTTGATGAGAAAGATACACATATTGACTCAGACTCTGATAGCGATAAAAAAAAGAAAAAGAAAAGTTCTGTTAAAAAATCTGGTAAAGTTAGTATTGTTGATGATCAGTTTTTCAAGTTGGCAGAAATGGAGGCTTTCCTTGAACAGGAAGATGCAAAGGAAATGAGACGACAGAAGAGAGAGGAAAAGGGAGATGATAATGACAAGAACATTTCATCAGAAGATGAAGACATTGACATGTTTGCCAATCTGTCTTCAGATGATCAGGTACAATACATGTATAAACTTAAAATCTTACAGACTTTTACATGTGGCAATTGTATACTAAACATCTAATAGAGGTGTACATATACATCTGCCAAGAGTAAAACAATCATCTTACACAAGTGTACATGTACATGGGGCAACTGAATAGCATTTATCTTACAGAAGTGTACATGTACATGTGGCAACTGTAACAGTATAGCAATTATCTTTCAGAAGTGTACATGTACATGTGGCAACTGTTATAGCAATCATCTTACAGAAGTGTACATGTAAATGGGGCAACTGAATAGCAATTATCTTACAGAAGCGTACATGTACATTTGTACATGTGGCAACTGTATAGCAATTATCTTACAGAAGTGTTTATGTACATATGGCAACTGTATATCAATTATCTTACAGAAGTGTACATGTACATATGGCAACTGTATATCAATTATCTTACAGAGACAACTGTATAACAATATATTATAGAAGTATCAATTATTATTATTATTATTATATACATGTGGCAACTGTATAGGAATCATCTTATAGAAGTGTACATATATATATATATATATATATATGTATCAACTGTCATTTAAAAAAATAGTGGTATGATTGCCAATGAGACAATTTTCCAGCAGAGACCAAATGCCATAGAAATTAGCAACTACGGCATGTATGGGTCTTCATACCTTCAACAATGAGGAAAACCCATGCTGCATAGCTAGAAATATAAAGGGCCTGACATAACAAATGTAAAACAATTCAAGCAAGAAAACTTACGCTTTGATATACGTACAAAACATTTAACAAAAACACTAAAATGCTGTACAGCCATGAACATGCAACAAGCCAACAACCATTGAATTACAGGCTCCTAACTTACAGGACTGTATAACATGTACATATACATGTATATACATGTAACAGGACTGTATAACATGAACATGTATATACATGTAACAGGACTGTATAACATGTAAATGTATATACATGTAACAAACAATCATAACAATAAACAAATGAAATTTGATATTTTGGCACTTGATATTCAATGACTGTCCTTAATTTTGCATCATTATGACTTTAAATCTCAGTTATAAACCTTAATTATCTTTAAAATGATTACTAAGTAAATGTACATCATGTGCATGTGTTGTTTTAACTTTGAACAAAATTTTAAGGTACATGTATGAACACTGTATCTAAATTAATTGATTTCAAGAATTGCCAGCTTTGCACTCTAGATCTGAAAATTTGATACATATTCAAGTCTAGATGGCATGTCAAACATTGAAAGGTATAATAGTATTTTAGACAACAAATAATCTCTAATTTATAAATTTTGATGTAGACTGAAATCCTTTATATTATTCAAGATAAATTATTGTTTATTATTGACTTAGCTTGATCTTTGTATTGCATGTATTTCTCTAAGTTCTGCAATTTGTTATGAATAAGTTGAAAGACAATGAAAATAGAATAAAAGAAGATATGGGCTATATGAGAATGAATCAACCCTACAACACAAAAAAAAAACCCAAAAGACATATCAAGTTTGCTAAGGTATTTCTATCATTACGTTTTTCAGGAGGAAGAAGCTAAATACAAGGACTTTTTTGATCCACCAGATGATGTAGAATCTGAGAAACAGAAAAAGGTCAAATTCAAGAACATTAAAAGGTAGGGGCGCTTGAAGGATAGAGAGATGTTCTACCAGAATATTTAGAACTTAACTACAAGGAAAGTTTGCGGATATTTTTGTTTATAAAACTTGCCTACAAAAATGGTTTGAACATGTTGAAGTAGCCTGCTTTTGACCTTTTAGAAGATTTAATATACATGTAGGGAATAACTAGAAAAAGAAGAAACATTGGACAATTTGCAGTTACCATGCCAAATAAACAAAACAGAATAATTGCAGGTTGACATTTGGTTTTTGATGCCTATTGTTTTTTTGTCAGAAGGCTCCAAGGATAGACTTAAGCAGTTTAAATAAATTTTGTTTCCCTCATAATTTTATAAAAAGACATAGATTTGTTGACCGATTTGAATACTCCTTTATTAAATGATGTTTGGAAATTTGAATTTCTCTATTTACTGTTACAGCCCATAGAAGATGATGACTCATGATCGATCAAATCATGTCTAGTTTCATATAAAAAGATAACATGTATTGTGCCATTGTAAGGTTTCCTACTAATTCAGTTAATGTACTTTCTATAATAGCAAAAAACCAGATGATGAAAATGATGAAGGAGATGAAGCAGAAGATGAAAGTGATGAAAATAGTGATGAAGATGATAACAGTTTGCAGCAGACACACAAATCTGGATTGTTTGATAGTGATAGTGAAGGAGAAGATGTGAATGATGTACTTGGTAGAGCCAAACCACAAGATAAATCATCTTATGAGAAACGACAAGAAAAGGTTGGTATTATTAATAGAAAAAATGTTATACTGTGGATTCGTTTATTTGCTTGGGTACCAATTATCATGGATTGAGAACAATTTGTATTTTCGCGGATATTTAAATTCATGGTTTTGCCAAAGTTTGCATATAAGCCTATGTAAAATATATGTAATTTATTGAACATTTAAATTTGTTCACATGCATATACCCACGAAATCCACGAAGATCAGTACCCCACGAATAATAATGAATCCACTTTATCAAGGATACAAATCTGAGTTGAATAATTCATTGTATTGACATTGATGGTAACTATGTGATTAATATAGCTGGATGAGCCAAACCAAACAAATCATGTGAGATATTATAATGTGAATATGGAAAACAGGAAAAAGTAAATCTAAACAATTTAAAAAAGAAGATGAAGTGAATTTAATATATACTCTCTAGGTGCCTATCAATTATTTTGATATCAATAAATTGGGAAAATTTCAGTTACAAAATTTTGTTGATTTCTTTCACCCAGACATGATATAATAACTATGTTAAATATACATTGATTTTGCTTTCTGGACATGTCCAAATCTAAGTAGGTACATATTGATGTCAAGATACTTTGAACAGAAAGAAAATCTATAAAGTTAGAGGACTGAAACTTTTAGAGTTTACTGAAATCCTTGTATGTAAGAGCCATTTTTTTGAATGGACAGAGAAATATAAAAATATGAAGATCTGGTATGATTGCCAACGAGACAAATTCTTATAAGTTACCATTTCAGTTTTCAACAATGAGCAAAACCCTCACTGTTTAGTAAGCTATAAAGGGACTGAAATGTCAAAAGTAAAACGATCCAATGAGAAAACTAATAATCTGATTTATATCATGTATATATATATATACAACAATAAGTGAAAAACAAATATAATATACTGAAACAAACGACAACCACTGTACTACAGGCTCCTGATTTTTATAAAATAATAAAAAAATGTTTCTGAAGGGACTGAAGTTTAGATTTTTTTACAAAAAGAAGCAGAGCTAATTATATAAAGAAAGATGTATGATAAGAGACTAAATTCAAGAAGTTAAAAGCCTTACAGCAAATATGCAAGACAAAATTCAAAAGTATAGATTCTGATGTCTGATAGACTAATGTCTTATAAACATTGAAAGGATCTTATTTAGTAGCTTTATGATACTTTTTATGCCCCCTGCCGCGCTTGACAGGGCAATAAGTTTTACCCTTGTCTGTCTGTACATCCCAAAATAAGTTTCCGTTCTCTAACTTGAGTTTGCCTCAACCAAATGTTATGATTATACACAACACTAATTATCAACAAACACAGATCAAGTTTGAATTTGGGTGGAGTCACTTTCACTGTTCTGGAGATATGTCCCTTTATTTCTACTCTCTAACTTTAGTTTGCCTCAACCAAATGTTATAACACTTAAACACAATGCTTAATACCACCCAAAAAGATCAAGTTTCAATTTGGCTGTTCTTGAGGTATGTCCCATTGTAAATTGAAAAATTGCAGAATTTGGTGTATATTTACGAGCAGTGGTGTGCATCCTATGGAAACAATCGTCATTTATTTATTTTTGAATTCTAGGGGCCAAAATAGTGGCCTTATTATACGGTCTCCTTACAGAAGGAGTAGACAAACCATATCATTACGAATGGTATGAGGAAACACAGGAAAAGATAAATATTATAGGACAATTTCTACTTTTAGATTAAATGGTAGAACTATGTTAAACATTGATTTTCAGAATCTAGCAAAAGCAGCCATTGTTCAGATGTTTGGCTGCTAGGTAGCTATTGAGAATTGTTATTTTGATTCAATGCATTTCGTTTGATCCCTTGGATTAAGGAGATACCTATTTTGCTTTTAATCAATAAACAGCTTAGAGTTGGTGTAAGCAATATTTCCATTATTTTCCAATTGTTATACGACCGCAAACATTTTTTGCTCCTATATTGGTATGACGTTGTTGTTGTTGTCGTCGTCGTCGTCCGAAAACACATTGGTTTTCGCACTCTAACTTTAGTTTAAGTGAATGGATCTCTATGAAATTTTACCATAAAGTTCAATACCACTAAAGAAAGGTTGGGATTGATTTTGGGGGTTATGGTACCAACAGTTAAGGAATAAGGGGCCAAAAAGGGGCCAAAAATAAGCATTTTTGTAACTTCCAGACATAACTTGTGTGTTAGTGTATGGATCTCTCTGACATTGTACCACAAGGTTCCATATCACACAGGGAATGCTGGGATTGATTTTGGGGGTAATTGCCTCAAAATATTAGGAATTAGGGGCCAAAAAAGGGGCAAAAACAAAGATTTTTTCTAGTTTCATGACAATAACTTGTGTGTAAGTGTATGGATCTTTCTGAAATTGTACTGCAAGGTTCCATATCACAAAGGGAAAGCTGGAATTGAGTTTGGGGGTAATTGCCCAAAATGTTTAGGAATAAGGGGCCAAAAATAAGCATTTTTCTAGTTTCCAGACAATAACTTGTGTTCAAGTGTATGGATCTCTCTGAAATTGTACTGCAGGCACCATATCACAAAGGGAAGGCTGGGATTGAGTTTGGGGGTGATGAATCATAAGGGGGTTCAAAATATTTTGGGGGGGGGATTTTTTTTTCTTTAAAATTTTCCATTTTAAATTGGTTATTTCTGATTTATATACATGTATAAAAGCAAATAATAATGATATGGTTTGAATAGGTAAATTAAAAATTTTTAAGTTCTTAGACCACATTCATTCTGTGTCAGAAACCTGTGCTGTGTCAAATATTTAATCACAATCCAAATTCAGTGCTGTATCAAGCTTGAATGTTGTGTCCATACTTGCCCCAACTGTTCAGGGTTCGACCTCTGCGGTTGTATCAAGCTGAGCCCAGCGGAGCATTTTATTTTTGTTATGTTTTTGTTGAAGTGAAAAACTTTGATAAACGAAATGTTCTTCCAGCTTAAAGAAAAGATAAAGAAGATGGAAGAAGCAAGTTTAGGAGATAAAACATGGCAACTCAAAGGGGAGACAACTGGTACTGCTCGACCAGAAAACAGTTTATTAGAAGAACATTTGATGTTTGATCATATAGCAAAAATACGTAAGTTGTCTCACATGTAAGGAATCTTAGAAACAAAGTGCTATTGAAAAGTTTTGTAGAGAGTGAATCTCCTGTCTGTTTTTTTTTTTACCTAAAGAAGTGGCATAGAAATGAGGTTACTTGGACTTCTGTTAAGCAGTAAGACCCTTGCTGAGGGCATATCTGTTTGGGAATACATTATATATATAATAAGGAGCCCCTTTTGGACAGAATGAGGATGTTAAATCCCATGCCTCAATTTGGGAAGGTGGCACACCCTGTGCACATAAAAGAACCCTTGCAATAACATAGAATGTTCTTATGTGATCTTTGTCCCAAAATATCATACTCTCTTTTTCCAATGGCACCAAACATCCAGAATCTATCGGGTTAATAGTTTTATTTGTCCTGGTCATGAACATAATAAAGTATTTGAATAATACTGAACACTAAGCAAACAATAGTCAATTAATCTATTCATTTGTATGTGTTTAAATTTCAGCTAAAGTAATCACAGAAGAAATAACAGAAACGTTGGAAAGTTTGATTAAAAGGAGAATAAAGGACAAGGTTAGATTATAATTCTATGTTTAAATGGTATTTAGACCAGCTTAGAATTTTAATAAATGTTTTAGGAAGATCAACAACAAGATTAGATAAATGCTATATAGGAGAATTAAGAACTCCAAATTACTGCATTGTTATTGTTCATGGGCAGTCATTTTAATGGGTGATTTAGAGACATGTATAATTGAAACCATGAATTCAGAAAGATATATTTTGTTGTTCATTTCAATGGATTTTTTTCATGATAACCAAAATTGGTTTACCCTTGTTTTAAGCTCTTCAGTATTTTGACTCAAATTCTAGTGCATAATTTTCTTATTTTTAATTATGATGTCTCCCAGAAAGAACAATTTTGTTGGCAATCTTAGGTAGAGAACATGGGGTTTTTCCTAATTGTCATCTAAAAATCATAAGAGAATCAATTTTTGAAATTATTACCCAACTATTAAGCGTGGCTTAATCACCTCAAATTCCTATCAGAGGTTTCAGCATGTGCAATTTTCATGTAGAAAGATTTATTGTATAAAGTAATTCTTTGCTAAATAGTAAGTTATCAATTAAGTGTACTGAATATCAGATCTTTACTAATAACTTACTTGTGTACTTTTCTATATTAATCTTGTTATAGGGAGGAGAATTTACCCTAAGCATTTCTCCTTTACCATTAAATCTTGTACACCTTCATGAAAATAAGGACATGTGGTATGCTTGCCAATGAAACCATTATCCACAAGGAACCAAAGGATAAGGATGTTAACAACTATAGGTCCCATTTGGCCTTCAACAATGAGTAAAGCCCATACCATATAGAATTAGCTTACTACAGTTTAGATTTATTGATCAATATTTATACATGTATATCACAAATCAGTTTCTGTGTACATCAAAAATAATAAGATAACATACAATAAAATTTGTATTTTATGGATGCTAATTTATCATTTATTACTCTTAAGATAAAACCTGAAAAGAAATGTATAAGTTAAAGTGGTGCCTTTTTCCAGATATTCTACATGTTTTTTGATAGAATTAGTCATGTCTTGATAATTAAATATTATAGGCATGGGATGATGTTGAAAGGAAAGTGAAACTTAAAGAGAATCCATTTGAATACAAGAAAAGGATAACATTAGACCAAGAAAAAAGTAAACAAAGTCTGGGAGAGATTTATGAACAGGAATATCTAAAGCAACAACAGGTAATAAAGCAAACAACAATAATAAAAACAACAATTAACAATCTGATTGAAATACAGATCCTGTTTCCAAGCTTTACTTACAAGGATCTAAAAATGCTCTGTTCTACTTTCTGTTTTAAAAACCTTTCGGGATCCTCTGGTTTTGTCATAGTAATACACACCTTGAAAAATTTGAAGGCTGAAATTTCATTGGCTGATGTAATAATTATTAGAACAGAAAGTAAAACGAAGGGTTGTCTGATCCATGTAGGCAAAGATTTGACACAAAATCTGTATTTTAATCAGATTGAACAATTAATTAATTAAAAAGCATAAATAAATAAAACCACAACTATCAATTTGCAACCAGAAATAATTAGATACACAAAATATAATGCCATAAACAGAATGATAAATGCTCTTTTTGTCATTAACAAATAGAAATAGTTATATCCTCAACCAGAAAGGTAGAAAATAGAACAGTTTAAATCACAGCAATTCAACAAATAGATAACAAGCAGATCCTAAAGGTAGTTTAAAACTGATGGGAACAGAAACAAACAAGAAAAGTTCAAACCACCACTGGTAAATCAAATATGAAAATGCTTAAACTACTGAAGGACAGTAAGAGAAAACTGCATCAGATCATGAATAACCAAAACAATGAAGGAGGTCTTTTATGCTGACAATAGGAAAGAATGTACCATGTCAGCATTAAAATATTAACTGGTTTTTGGTGCCATTAGTTGCAATTCTTTCAGAAGGAAGATAAAGTAACCTATACACAAATAGAGGAACATTATGAAACAAACAAAATAATTTGTTTATCCATGTAAGAAAATTTGTAGTCATCATAAGAAACAAAGTAAAAAAAAATAATGAATTTGACTTGGAAGAATTAATCATTTCATAGAATTATTGTTATGTTATAGGCAGAAGAAGAAGAAAAAACAGATCAAGATCATGAGGAAATAAAAAAAATGATGCAGTCTTTATTTATCAAACTGGATGCCTTGTCGAACTTCCACTACACACCTAAACCTGTATGTATAATAGTAGATTATGAGGCATGATCTAGTCTTGAACATGACATATTATTTATCTTACATTATTCTTTATGTACATGTATAAGAGGGAAATGATCATAGTTGTTCGAATGGACACCTTTTATAAATTCTGACTTGTGCATAAAATTTTAATGTGTTTTACATATTAACAGTGTTAAAATTAAGACTCATGAGGTTAGTTTCTAAATCATTCATTTTATATACAATTTGATATGGAACAGTTTGTCTAGTTTTAACTCAAAATCATAAGTTGCTGTCATTTGATAACTTGTTTAGAAGATAATTGTTTGTTTCAATTGTGATTTCATTTTAAACTTTAGTATTAATGTGATAACTCCAGAAAAATGAACCCAATGCTTCTCTGATAAAATTTATTCCTTTGGATAAATCTTAAAATCAAGACAAAACTTTTATTAGGTATAGTCACAACATGAATGGTCTTATTAGGAAATATGTTTTTATTTTGTTATACCTAAGTGGTTTCTTTGCCTTTATTTTGTAAAAGCTGTAAAAATTAACAGTATAGCTAAAGTCTTAATTAATATCAATAGCAAATATTAGTACTGTAAATTAAAAAATTATTGTGAGATTTTTATTAATGGGAATAATGCAACTAGGTGAGTATCGCAATAATAAGAACTCCCATTCTGATAGCTGTTACATATATCTGTATGCAGATTTACCTGAAATCACAATAATTAGTCCCCTACTGACGAAGTCGAAGGTGACTTTAGGTTTGCACTCCGTCCGTCCGTCTGTCTGTCTGTCTGTCTGTCTGTCCATCTGTCAGTCCGGCAAATCAGTTTTCCACACTTTTTTTCTTCATGCTTGAAGATATTGATTTGATATTTGGTGTATTGATTTATCATGACAAATTACAGATCAAGTTCGAATTTTGTTCCGGTCTGATGATTTTGTGCAGAGTTTTGGTCCTTGGACTTAGAAAATTCACCAAAATAATCAGTTTTCCGCACTTTTTTTAGTCATGCTTGAAGATATTGATGTAATAATTGGTATATAGTTTTATCATGATAAGTTACAGATCAAGTTCAAATTTTGTTCCAGTCTGATGATTTTGTGCAGAGTTATGGTCCTTGGACTTCGAAAATTCACTTAAATCAGTTTTCCACACTTTTTTTCATCATGCTTGAAGATATTGACTTGATATTTGTTATATAGTATACACCATAACAAGTTATAGATCAAGTTAGCATTTTGTTCCAGAACAATGAATTTTTAATTGGTAGGGGACTATGTATTGCCATGCAATACTTTCAGAAGCTTGTTAATCTCACATTTTTTACCATTCTTCAAAAATTGCAATAATAAATGCATTCAATAATTTCTGAATTTACAGTACTTAAATCAAATTACTATCTGATGTTTAAATGAAATTTTAACCTTTAGTAATATGAGGCATAATGAAAATTTGTTAGCACAAAATTATAACATCATTCTACTGTTTTTTCCAATGTTTTTGCAGGCAGCACCTGAAATAAAGATAGTGTCTAATATGCCAACCATTTCCATGGAAGAGGTAGCTCCAGTCAGTGTTAGCGAGAATGTTATATTAGCTCCAGAGGAAATTAAGGTAGATAATACTAAATACTTACGTGTGTTTCCATTACATAGACAGTTTATATTGTTATAAGAAGTTAATCTGTGTCACAACAAAAAAAATGCTAACAATTATTACCAAAGCCATGTTACCTGCTACTTTGAAACAGCTTTGATTAATATTTTGTGGATATTAAATTGCACTTTAATCTGTCAAACTATTCAATTATGTGCTACTGTGGATTCATTTATTTTGGTGGGTATCAATTTTCATGGATTGAGGAAAACTTCTATTTTCGTGGATATTTGATTTCGTGGTTTTGCTTTAGTCAGCATATATTTCTATGAAACATTTGTAATTTGTTGAACATTTAAATTCATGATTTCTCTGTACCCACAAAATACACGAAAATTGGAATCCAACGATTAATAATGAATCCACAGTATAAATAACATTTTCTTGTTGAAAATATGACAAAACATTGACACTCAGCCACTTTTTGTCAACTTCTAATAGTTTTCTACAATACAATGCTGTTGTGATATAATCATTAAGAATTAAATGCTCTGGTACCTTAGACATGTATTTACTATTCATGTTGAGCAGCATATTTGATTTTAAATTTATAGAACCTGTTCAATGATTAACAGTTAAACTAGACTCTAGTATCAAAATTAAAGCAGTATTGTATAGATGTAGACCTACTGTTGCTGTAAGTTGTCAATCATATGGAAATATATGTTACAAAAATATTGAAAAATTGTTCTATTTCTGTTTATGATCATTTTTAATCAATGTGTATGTTGACTTGAGGAGTGCAGTATAAAAACCATGGTTGCCAGTATGTTTACCAAATTCTAACTACATAGATTACTGGGTGCTATGAAATTAATAAGCAAATTAAATGCATATATATATACATATAATTATATTTGCATTATAATAATTCTAGGAAAAGATGAAGGGGGAGTTGAAAGCTACGACAGAAAAATCAGACACAGACAAAAAGAGAGAAAGAAGGACAAAGAAAAACATGAAAAAAAAGAAACGAAAAGAGAGAAATCAAAGGGAAAAGTTGATAGAAAAATTAAATCCAGGTCTTGGAAATAAATATAGCAAAGAAAAAGCTCAGAAAGAATTGGAAAAACAGAGCAAATCTGGGAAAGGTGTAACAATGATTAAGGTAAGTCTTTGTTTGAAACATAATTCCCCAAATTTATAATATGGAAAACAAAATCACATATGCCTACCGCATGATGCTTTCTTTGTCATGGTGGACATGTTTCCACAGGATGTATTGCAGCACTCTTGTCCTGAAGTGTAGAAGTAAGTCTGAAATTTATGACCACAAAATTACGACCAGAATATATATACCATCATTTTCAATGGTAGCATATCATTAAGAATGAAATAAAAAATTGCAATTATGTACGAGGTCAATTTGCTTAAATGACGTCATTGAACAATAGGTTCTTACTGTGACATAATTAATTACATGAGCATTGTGACATAGGAATTGAAGGGAAAATGAACAAATTTGAAAGTCTTGAATAGATTTTAATTAAATGGAGTCTATAAATCTTTCAGAATTGTTTTTTTTTTTTTGGGGGGGGGGGAATAAATGTACATTGAAAACAGAAAATTTAAAATTTATCAATAATACATAAAAAAGCATAACAGGAATTACCAAAATATTGTACAATGCAACTGACTACACCAACCACCAAAACCTGACTCCTCCTAAAAAGTATATGTATAAACAAAGACGAGCAAAAATAAACAACATTGGTTCCAGATAGCCTGACTTGGTGCAAGCACAAAATTTGGTAGGGTTAAAGCAGTTATGCATGCCCACAAACCTCACTTATGCCTATCTAGACCATATGTCGTATCAGTAAAACTCACAGTGCAACAGCTACCAACAGGATGACCACTAACTTGAACAAAGAAATAAAAGGCACATAATTTGAAAAGCAGGGTCAAAATTTGTTCACTACTACAGTTAGCTATCATTGGTAACCACAGATGTTGGTTGGATACTGCATCTCTAGAAAACAAAAAAATCAGATAAAACCTAACTGGTGTTCTGAAGCCTTATCACAAAATTCAGTTAAAGTTGACAGTATTTGTAAGAGGCCGATAAGTATCCTGACCTTTTATATATGCTGCTTTATTGTTCTATAGCCTTTAATCTTTGTGTGTATATACCTGAAGGGCTATTATTGCTATGACTTGATGATTATTTTCCATCACAAAAGATATGAACACAAAAAAGCATCAGACAACATTCAATAAACAAATTATTGACAAGACCTATCTTGGGATTTTTTCACAAATCTGGCCAAAAATCAGCCATTTGACCTATCCTCCACATAGACTTTTAGTGCAGAAAATATGGTACACAATTATTAAAATATAAACACCTGTAACCTCAGACAATACTAAATAGGCAAATGACTAGGTCACAATTCTATTTACAAAATGTTGTTAAATGAAATTGGATACCCTGCATTTATCATGCTTTTCAATAACATATGGTCAAATCGCTGAAAGACCCCTCCTAAATTATTGAAAACTATAATTCTGCATTGACAATAATATCTTGGTGTAAATTAGATACAACCATTGGAGCTAACACCCTCAAGGTGTAGCTAGTACAAACACGAATGTGTCAATGTATACTGTCAGAAGTCACCTATACCATCGTTCATTTAAATGCCATTGGTTTGCAATTTGATATTTTATTTTGCAGTGCCTTTGGTTTGGCCAAATGGCATTCTATGTAGACTTATAGATCTTGATTGGGTTTTTTTTCACAATTGAAGTTTTAAAGGTAACAAGTTATCTGTGATCTCAAGTTGATTTTTGCATTATGTTTATATTGAAAATACAAACTGAGCCATGACAAATGATGTCATCTTTTGTTGTAATATTACCAAACTCATTGAAAACTGTGAAAAAAGTAAAAATGTTATTATAACATTTTTTTTATTTCAGAACCATGATAAAAGTAAAAAGAAATCATCATTGACATCATCCAAGTCATTCTTTACTCAGCTACAGGAGGAAGTTACCACACAGATTAAATCTAAAAAGGCAGAAAAGAGAAGGAATGAAAATTCTGGCACTTTAGCATCTAAAAAATTAAAATTATAGACATTTTATGTATTGGGGTCTCCTTTTCTTATTGGACAGTTTAAAAATGGATAAACTGTTTCAAAATCTAATGGATTGTGGGTAATTTTAATGTTCATTCAACAATATGAAAATAGTGATATGTCATTGGTTGAATAATCATTTTTTAGAACTTTATTAACCAATCATAATCTTTTTGTGTGTGCTTTTGAAAATATTACCCAAGATGCATTAGTTTCTGAAACAGTGAATTAGCTATATTCCACAATGATCATTTGATCATATTCAAGAAGAGAACATATAGTAGGAGTAGGATACATATAGTTATTTTTATTTATACAAATGGAGCTGTAACACATTGGACACTGAATTATTTTGTACAACCTGTTGCAATAATTTCAACCATCTTGTACAACATGAGGGGGTATTTATTCCCACATTTGAGCCCAACCTGTTATTCAGAATGCATTCTAATACAGGGCCTAATCTAGGATTTTGGAGATGGAGAGGTGACTTGTCCTGCAAGGAGAGACTAGTCAACTTCTTGGATAAGCCTACTATAGATATAACGAGAAAAAGGCAGAGAAGTGATAGTTCTAACATTGAAGTCCCCAAATACATGTATCTACTTTATATGATTTCATCTACGGTAATATTATGTTATATTGTAGTTTCAATATAGTTGATATCTACTCTTAATAATAATAAGGAGATGTGGTATGATTCCCAATGAGACAACTACCCAAAGAGCCTAATTGATTTGGATTTTAGCATCTGCATGTTACCATATGGTCATCAACAATGAGCAATGAAAACTTAACATGCTCTTCCATAAGAGAAATATTTTTAACTGTTTCTTAGAAATTTTTTAAAAAGTTATATTTATATATAGTAGGCATGATCAGATGATTTTTCTTCAAGAAACTTATGTGAAATCCAAATAATTGTAACATAACTTCAAAAAGAATCCTATAAAATTTGTTCCAAATACTGTAAATAGCTTCTTTATATTGGTAACCATTCTATAACTGGATCTGTAATATCAGACAAATATTTCTTTATGAAGCATAATGAAAATTCAGACTTGATATGACAGAATTTACACAGCTTGACCAATAAAGCAGTAAAGAAAACAAAAAGCTGAGGAAACAAAATTCTTCAGACCTTTAAAGTTGGATACCGGTCATCTGTGAACAACTACTCAATCACATGATCTATTTTTTAGTTCATCTGCTTGAAGGTCAGTATGAGCTTTTGCTATCACTTGTCGTCTATCATCTGTAAGCTCAATCAAAACTACTGAAACAATTTGAATAAAGCAAGAAGTTGCAAGCATTGTCCTGCTAAGCATACCCCCATTCGTTATTCGAAGTATTTGAAAATAAGAAGTTTTGGCTGCTGACTAGATATGAAGACATTCTGTTCAGAAGCATGGGAGTAAAGTATCTCATAAATATTTTGGACAAAGGGTCGGATGACTGTGAGTGGGGGTAATAAGTTCACGTGTTTCATCCTGAGGGTGTCAAGATTAAAGTTATTTTTCTTTGACTCCATCAACAAACATGGCCCCAGTGTCGAAAAATGGAATCTGAAGGTAAAATGCATGTGTGATATGAAAACCATTATAGATAAGAAAATATAACAGGTGCAAAAATTATCAGAACATAATTATCTATATACTCTCTATTTGAACCCAAATTATCAGAAGATTCCATATAGGAATTATTAGCCTTAAATGACTATTTCTGAAAATTTTAGAATGTTTATACCCTGTCTACAATAGTAGGGGGCATTATGTTTTCTGGTCTCAGCTTTCATCCGTTATCCTGTTCATCTGTCTTGTATCATGTTCAAGTTTTTGGTTAAGGTAGTTTGTTTTAAAAGTACAGGGAAAATATGGTAGGTGCTCCACTGTATGGTTTATTTTATTTCTATGCGGCCGTATAATGGTTTGACGATGTCTCCGAAGACATTTGGTTTCCAAATAATGACAAGTATAAGTGTATAGATTTCTATGAAATTAAACCACAAGGTTCCATACCACAAAAGGAAGGTTGGGATTAAGTTTGGGGGTTATGGCCTAACTGTTACAGGTTAAAGGTGCCAAACCAATACTTTTCTAATACTTTGTATAAAGTGCTTATTTCTTGACCAATTTCGATGGGGTTCAGGAGCCTGTAGTTCAGTGGTTGTCGTTGGTTCATGTCTGTCATATTTGTTTTTAGTTAATTGTTTTGTTATAAATAAGGCCGTTTGTTTTCTCAATTGAATTGTTTCATATTTTTCATGTCAGGGCTTTTATAGCCGACTATACAGTATGGGTTTTTCTCATTATTGAAGGCTGTACGGTTGCCTATAATTGCTTACATCCACTTTATTTGAACTTTGGTGGATAGTTGTCTCATTTCAATCATACTTATCTCCTTACATATTGCCTTAAGGGCCTAGTGAGCTTTTCTCATCACTTGGCGTCCGTCATCGTCGTTAACTTTTTACATTTTGAACTTCTTCTAGAGAACCACTGAATGGAATGAAACCAAACATGGCATGAATGTTCCTTATGAGGTGCTGACCAAGTGTTGTTCTTTGTAGCTGATCCATCATCCAAGATGGCCACCAGCAGGGGACTTCGTTTAACATAGGACCCTATGGACAATACATACAAATGTCTTCTTTTAGGGAACCACTGAATGGAATGAAATAAAACATGGCATGAATGTTCCTTATGAGGTGCTGACCAAGTGTTGTAACTTTGTAGGCAATCAATCATCCAAGATGGCCGCCAGCGAGGACTTAGTTTAACATAGGACCCTATGGGAAATTCAAACAAATGCTTTCTTTTAGAGAACCACTGAATGGAATGAAACCAAACATGTCATGAATGTTCCTTATGAGGTGCTGGCCAAGTGTTGTTACTTTGTAGCCAATCAATCATCCAAGATGGCTGCCAGCGTGGAACTTAGTTTAACATAGGACCTAAGTGAAATACATACAAAAGTCTTCTAATAAAGAACCACTGAATGGAATGAAACCAAACATGGCATGAATGTTCCTTATGAGATGCTGACCAAGTGTTGTTACTTTGAAGCCAATCCATCATCCAAGATGGCTGCCAGTGGGGGACTTCGTTTAACATAGGACCCTACGGACAATACATACAAATGTCTTCTTTTAGAGAACCACTGAATGGAATGAAACCAAACATGGCATGAATGTTCCTTATGAGGTGCTGACCAAGTGTTGTTACTTTGTAGCTGATCCATCATCCAAGATGGCCGCCAGCGGGGGTCTTCATTTAACATAGGACCCTATGTATAATACATACAAATGTCTTCTTTTAGAGAACCACTGAATAGAATAAAACCAAACATGGCATGAATGTTCCTTATGAGGTGCTGACCAAGTGTTGTTACTTTGAAGCCGATCCATCATCCAAGATGGCTGCCAGCGGGGGACTTCGTTTAACCTAGGACCCTATGGGAAATACATACAAATGTCTTCTTTTAGAGAACCACTAAATGGAATGAAATAAAACATGGCATGAATGTTCCTTATGAGGTGCTGACCAAGTGTTGTAACTTTGTAGGCAATCAATCATCCAAGATGCCGCCAGCGGGGATTTAGTTTAACATAGGGCCCTATTGGAAATACATACAAATGTTTTCTTTTAGAGAACCACTAAATGGAATGAAACCAAACATGGCATGAATGTTCTAATGAGGTGCCTGCCAAGTGTTGTTACTTTGTAGCCAATCAATCATCCAAGATGGCCGCCAGCAGGGAACTAAGTTTAACAAAGGACCCTATGGACAATTCAAACAAATGTCTTCTTTTAGAGAACCACTGAATAGAATGAAACCAAACATGGCATGAATGTTCTTTATGAGGTGCTGACCAAGTGTTGTGACTTTGTAGCCAATCAATCATCCAAGATGGCTGCCAGCGTGGAACTTGTTTAACAAAGGACCCTATGTGAAATACATACAAAAGTCTTCTTTTGAAGAACCACTGAATGGAATGAAACCAAACATGGCATGAATGTTCCTTATGAGGTACTGACCAAGTGTTGTTTCTTTGTAGCCAATCAATCATCCAAGATGGGTGCCAGCGGGGAACTTAGTTTAATAAAGGACCCTATGGGAAATATATACAAATGTCTTCTAGAAAACCGCTTAATGGATTGAAACCAAACATGGTATAAATGTTTCTTTTGATGTGCTGACCAAGTGTTGTTACTTTATAGCTGATTTGTCATCCAAGATGGCTGGCAGCAGGGGGAGTAAGTTTAACATAGGACCATAACGGAAATACATACAAACGTTTTCTTCTAGAGAACCACTGAATAGAATGAAACCAAACATGGCATGAATGTTCCCAATGAGATGTTGACCAAGTGTTGTTACTTTGAAGCCAAACCATTATCCAAGATGGCCACCAGTAGGGGACTTAGTTTAACATAAGACCCTATGGGAAATACATACAAATGCTTCTTCTAGAGGAGCACTGATTGGAATGAAACCAAACATGGCATAAATGTTCCTTATGAGGTGCTGATGAAGACTACAATACATGTATCTTTATAGATTGAGATATACTGCAAAAATATCAAGAAAAGAAGATCTACACATAAGTCATCATGAACAAAATTGTCAAGTGACATCTTGTTGAAGTTGTTGTCCCCATAAAGTCATTTTCTACAATTTCAATGAATTTATTGGTAATTTCTGTAAACTTTACAAAAGTCTTCTGCTTTTGATTAAATTACGGGGCCAATATTAAACCAAATTTGGCCTAAATCATTATAAGGGTATCTGTTATGATTTTAATCTATTTTTACATGATTTCCAAAACCAAAGTAGAATCAGGTGAGCGACACAGGCTCTTGAGAGCCTCTAGTTAAATTAGTTCACATTGAGGTCCAAAGAGTCGAAAATTAGACTTCGTTTAATTTCATCAAAAATTTAATTATTGATATGCTGAATTAATATTTTAATTTTGGGCCCTGTTTTCAAATCGGTCCACATTAAGG